AAATGTGTCTTCAGGGGGAAAATTGGACATCTAGAATGTGATTTCACAAACACTTTTTAGAATGTTGGGCCAACTGGATGTTCCAAGCGAATGCACCATGAGAAGAAACAGTTTGAAGAAGGAGGTTTCTGTGTGTACCTGATTCCCGGCGTACGCTGCCCGGTTGTGCTACGTGTGCGACAGGTGACCATCTGCCCTGCTCCGTCTGAGTCAGAGTGGCTGCGATGCCACTCATTTCATCTCCAATACGCTGTGGGAGGCTCCAAAACTCACTGCCCACACGGTAACCCTAAGACATAGATGTAAAGACACGTGAGTGAAGAAGCCGCAGAGAAAATCAAATCAAATAGGAGAGGATTCTGACTCAAATGTGTGTCATACATATCCAGAGTGGATGAGAGGCATGACTCGGTTTAGAAACTCCCTCTGCTCCTGAGTTTCTCTGTAATGGTTGGCTTGGTTCATCAGTAAGCTCTCTACCGGCCTGTCGAGCATGTCTTGAGAGAGTTGAACAGAGCAGCAGATGAATAAAGAGATGGGAGAAAAAGTATTTTGGAAATCAAATATTAATGTATACATGAGCAAATATGAAGTATGCATCTATGAGATGTATTCATTCATCAACTCCTGATTCAGTTCAAGTGTTTTTCATTCAATAATATATTGCCTCTTGTTAATGCTTAGACAAATGCGAGCTGATTCTTTTTTTTTTAGGTTGTAAGCAGGCAGAAATGATTATGCAAATGTGATGTATTTCTGGTGCAGGTTGCTGTACAGTGTAATCCGCTCACCAGATAAGAGGTCCTGCTGCCGTCTGCGCTGCGTCATGTGAGCCTGCCAGTGCTGCAGGGCATTGCTCTGAATGTTTCTGCAGCCTGAAGGGATCCCACGCCCGTCCTCCACAGCCTCAGACCCATGTCTCTCTGGGGCCTCAGATGGAGTGTATTTCCTGGACTTTGCTATTCGCTTCACCAACTGGATAGTGGGAAAAGGAAGGAAGGAACCAGAGTTGGCTTGCGCAGTCAGCGGTTTCTGTTTCGTTACATCAGTTTACAGAATGACAGCTGTATTTGGTTTCCCGATTTGAAATACTATATGTTAAAATGTAAATGCTGTTTCATTATGATATACCTCTGTCTCCCCTTTGGCTTCCAAATAACTTTGGAAATCCTCTAAAGTACCCAGAATGCTGTGTGGAAGAACCATCTCTTGGTCATCAAAGTTGAACCCTTCTGATCCTGAAAAAAAAAAGAGTATTGGAACCAACACTGAAAATAACACTAATTTCAGCCTTAGGATACAAATTATGAACATCTTTCTCACTACAGTACACTGTACAATGTGTTATTGTTCATGAGGACAAATGAAGATGACCAACCTGTGCAGTCTGGAGGTTGAGAGTCAGGGTCCTGATTCACTGGATGAGTCGCTGGCCCCTGCACAGTAACACTTGCTCCTTCAGCTGGCTGTGTCTTAGGCACAAGAGCCATGTGAGCTGGTTTGGGGCGGCCCTTCGGTGGCTTAGGTATATGAATCTACAGACATAATCATATTGTCAGTAACATATTCAACTGCTATAAAACACCCTTGGTGCCACACAAACATGATTTGTATTTTTGGGGGAGCAAAGTTCATTTCAAAGTCAGAGTAAATACTGTAAATGGATGAAGCGGGTTTACTTTATTGCTGTCCTGTGGCTGAAAGGACATGGCCTGGAGTTCACAGTCTTTAAGAGTACAGATGTCGGGCTGCTCATAACCCAAGATGTGCAACTCCTCTGATGGTTTCAGCTTCTTGTTCTCTAGAGGAGAGAGTCAAGATATAAACTGGAAAATGGGAACAGTCATTCTGAGTGCTCCCACACTTCAAGTCTCTTGGTAATCTCTCCACACAGAGACTATAATGTTTCATGTTGCTTATCCCTAATTCTTACATTTTAAAAAGTGAGAGAGGCTTTACTTCATTTGTGCAAAGTACATAAGTGGTCACAAACTCACAGCTATCGCCCTGGAACACTGACATGGTTATGCAATTCTGTTCATTTCTCTGAATATAGTTTCCATGGCCACAACAACAGTGAAAGATCCTTGGCTTTTGTAAGTGTTTTTCTTCACTTCCTCCATGTTGTCAGTCTCAAACTAAGTGCAGTTTCTCACATAATTGATTTGATTTGCCAGCAGCAAAGCCCTTGCCCTTATCCAAAGAAATTGCTGCTGCAATTCTACATGTTTTCGCAAAAGAAACAGCCAATGAAACGCCTTTTTTTCTGACCATGATCTTATGTACTTTCTCCCTAAGAGAATGCAACAAATAGGCTGCCCAAGTACTCAGCAGTTATTTCCACATTTATGCTACCTTTTACTTCGACTACAGTACATTTGAGTTGAAAATATCTTCCTATTTTCCACTTAGACAACTTTACTAGTTACCTTGCATATCCCGATTAATCAAAAAAATATATAAAAAAATTACATTTTAAATATATAATTATAGGCTAAGTTTAGATCAATCATAAATGGTTTGTACAATAATAATCATAATGTATTTTTTCCCATTCATAAAACAAACTACCAAAGGAGTTTTGGGACTAAAGTATGGTATCTGAACTCTGATTAGCAGAGGTGGAAAAAGTACTCGGATCAAAAGTAAAAACACCACAGTGTAGAAATACTCTGTTACAAGAAAAATATCCTGCACTCAAAATGTCACTGAAGTAAAAGTACAAGAGCTATAGCGACAGCAGGAAACAAACAAAGTCGCTGAGAGGCTGAGGCCGGGCCCGTTTGATATTGTGTGACACGCTACAACAAAGTACTTGCTGAGATCAAAAACTCTGTTTAAAGATAATGTAGATTAATGAAATCTGGGATGATCAACTTATTTTCCTTGGACATATATATTGCTATAGTAATCAAACAATCATTAGACTTGCGGTCAACACAAAGTACAACGACCCTGTGTCACCCTCTCTTCCACACACACCTCACGCAGGTGAACAGGAGTATAATGAGTGCCGCCCATATAGATGGGACCCAAGCCAACCAATCAATAGTGATCAAACAAATATCTTATATTAAAACAAAACACATTACTATACACGTTTCATGGCTCCTACAAGAGCATTAGAATCAAAATATACGTTCTAAAAGTAAAGTACTCGTTTTGCACATTGGCCCATTCCAGATGTATGTATATTATATGTTTTGATCATAATTATTGATCATTAAAGTGTTATAAAAGCTGGTAAAGTTGCAGCTCGTTTCAATTACTTTATACTGCAGGGTAGATTGTGATTTTACTCCAGGTGTAATAAAGCCTTATTTAATTTTTCATTATGTTTCACATCATTAATCCAAATCTGCAAGGGATCTAAATAAATGTAGTGGAGTACAAGTACATTATGTACCTCTGAATTGTAGTAGGGGAGCAGTATAAAGTAGTACGAAATTGAAATACTCCAGTAAAGTACAAGTCTCTGAAAATGAACTTAAGTTACTTAGTTACTTTACACCAGTGCTGATTAGTTCTTCTTCAAGTATTAATGGACACAGTTACTGTCAGCTGTAGGAAGTAACTAAGTACATTTACTCAAGTACTTAAGTACAATTTTGAGATACTTGTAGGCCTACTTTACTTGATTATTTCCATGTTATGCTACTTCTACTCCGACTTCTAAATTACTTTGCAGATTTGGATTAATGATGTGACATATAATCAACATTTTTGAAGGCAACACTTTAATTTACGAAGGACTTAGTTATCTACATTGTGGTTTCGCTACTTTAACAAAAGTCAAAGTTCTGAGTATCTTTTCCAACAAAAATAAAGAGAGGCACAGCTTCATTCTCGCTGTTGACTTCAGTGCAGCTCCTGAGCAGGTGGAGAGGTCATGGTGCTGCAAACGCTTAGCTCGTATACAGTTACAGAGACATGGACAGGGGGGTAAAAGAAAGACACAGAAGTGTGTGACTTAGCCTACCTGCAGCACTTAGACGCCTGAGCCCCTTACTCACTGACTCGCCGTAATTCATTTGTTCTCACTGCCGTGAAAGTTTCGGTAAACTCATGTAGCGTTTGTTAGCCAGCAGTGCTAACCGAGCTAGCGCTGCACCTCAGCGTCAAGTATGTTCTCTCTATTGGTAACCATGGTCACCACGACGCTTCAGAACAAAGGAGGAGCAGAGGAGTTTGTTTTAAACAAGATGTGAGTATGACAGTATTGCACATGTGTTTCCGGTTTATTCAGTTATTGTAACATAAAGGACCCTAGTTTCTATCACCACACAGATCAAACCTTAATCAGCCTATTTGGGACTGTACCACAGACTTTTGGTTATGACCTTCAATTATTATGTATTTAATTATATTTGGTTATTTTGATAATGGCATCAGTCTTGTTGTTTTATATGCAAAATTCCATATTGGCTACTAACACATTTGCCTGCCCTGCCTGCTTCAAGTCCTACCTGGACACACTAAATAGGCCTACTTCACAAACTCTAAAGCTGTGAAAAGTAATTAATTTGATTTCTAATTCATTTTTCTTATGTTTTATTTTAGTTTCTATTTTGGTTTTGTATGGCTGCTCTTCGGTTCTGTGTGCAAAGTTTAATTCGGGTAAATAACGTTTTAAAAAGTATTTTATTTCTTTCACATGTTTTCTTTCTTTTCTCTTAAGCAATAAAATAGGCTACCAAAACAATTTCAAATGAAAGGGAACAACAATAGCCTAGATAAGTTGTCAAATGTCAGAATGTTTCATGGAGAAAAAAAATGAGCCAGGAATAAAATAAGCATATTAATTTTGCTAAATTAACCTATGAATAAGCTAATACTGTAATAACAATAATCAAAAACAAATGTCATAATCATGAAATAATACATTAAATGGTTGTTTTATTCATAATAATATATAGGATAATAATATAACAATCAAACATGGCAAATGTAAATCATGTGTTATACGCTGAGTTGTATAGCCCCCATACTGTTTCCTCAACACACTGTTCTCCTGAGGAACACAACAACCATCTCCATGAGCATGACGCATGAATCACGGGGTTGAGGATGGCTCATATAAAGACAACGGACATCAGCCTTTGCAGAGACAAGCTTGAACAAGCCTATGCAACGTCAGCTCTCACAATCTGTCCACATTGTTGAGCCACGGGCTGGACATAGGCTATATTAAAATGATGGAAAGAGGCAGCATCTCCACCGTGTCACAGACCACCTCTCTGCCTGTGGCGCACCAGCTCAGCTGCTCCATAGATGCTCCCCAGTTTCATGGTAATATGGACGAGAAGGGCACCGGCACCTCCAAAGTCTTTCTGGCTTACAAAAACGCTTCACAGCACCTGAGTTCATCGGGAATCAAAGCAGGTTTGGGGATACTTAAAGTGGCCACGTCTCAGTGGAAACAGGAGAAGAAGACGCGTTCAGGGCCACCTGTTAGGCAACTGTCCACCGCCAACAGCAGCCACCCCTGCAAGAGATCCCCCCTGGATCAGTTGGCAGCTCTGGTTCTGCACGGTAAAAGCCGGCAGCGCAAGATTGGCCAAGAGCAAGTACCGACCAAGCCTCAGAACTGTAAGCGCATCGTGGTTCTTGGTGCGCCAAGGGTCGGCAAGACGTCCATCGTTAGAAGATACCTTCGAGAAGGATTCATGGAGGAGTATAATCCCACCTCCGAGGATTTCCTCAGGAAAATGTTTCGCATTCGTGGAGAGAGCTATCAAATTGACGTTCTGGACGCGTCCAGGGAAAGGGATTTCCCAGCCAAGCGGCGGCTATCTATCCTCACTGGTGCGTGTTATAGTCTCTGTCCTGACAAAAGTTTAGATTTGTTTTCAGTTTATATATTTTCCAAAACCATAACAGGCGAATCGTTGCAGTTTTTTTGTGCATGCGTAATTCAGCCACATCATAGACCCATATGCATTACATTAATGCACACAGTGTACAATCTTGCTTTTTATTGCTGCAAATATTTGTATTCAATTATATTTCGAGGATTACAACCATATTCAATACTGCTATTTGTTTTACTATATATTTTTAAATATTTGTTAATGTTATTATAGTTTTCTTCAAATAGTTTTCTATCTGTGTTTTATCTTATGTGTGCACCACAACAAAATTCATCATAAGTGTTACCCTACCTGGTAATAAACCTGTTTCTGATTCTGATTCTATCTCTCACATCCATATTATCCAACTAATTTCTTGTCTTTAATGCAGGGGACATTTTTCTCCTGGTATTCAGTCTCGATGACCGGAGCTCTTTCGAAGAGGTGTGTGCCCTACGAAAGGAGATTCTGGCCGCTAAATTAAAGCTCACCAAATCCTCTATGCCAGAGCAGATTCCTCTGGTGGTCTGCGCCAACAAAGTGGATCTCCTGGAATCAGAGAGAGAAATATCTAGGGAAGAAGTGCTCAAATCTCTCGGCGATGAATGTGCATATTTTGAAACGTCTGCAAAAGAAAGCACGAATCTGGAGAAAGTGTTTGAGACTTTGGCAAAGCGAGGCGGGCTTCCTACTGAAACTGGGCCATCTCAGCACCGCAAACTGTCCATGCGTTCGTACCAGGCCATTCGGACAGGCCGTGTGCCCGGGAAGGTCAGCAAGACTCCGGGGCGAGATGATGCCTTCGGGGCCCTGCATCCTCTGGTCCGTCGGCCCAGTTTTACCACGGACCTCAGACAAGTCATTGGGCCACTTACTGCAACCAAGCCGGGGAAAGCTCTGGAGAAATGTCCGATTCAGTGAGAGACAAGAATTGTAACAGAGCGGATAAAACAACGAATTAAACACTGATATTATTTAAATATAAGCCATTATTCCTATCTATAATCACATTAAGATGATGTTTTCAAAAATAAAATGTGTTTTAATAGCACAATGGCTGGCCTATTAATACAAGAAGCATACATATACAATGACTATCTATTAATCTGTCGTGTGTGTGTGTGTGTGTGTGTGTGTGTGTGTGTGTGTGTGTGTGTGTGTGTGTGTGTGTGTGTGTGTGTGTGTGTGTGAGTGTGTGAGTGTGTGAGTGTGTGAGTGTGTGAGTGTGTGAGTGTGTGAGTGTGTGAGTGTGTGAGTGTGTGAGTGTGTGAGTGAGTGAGTGAGTCACGATTGCCAGAAGTTCTCCTCTGGATTCCCACACATCCTGAAAATAGGATTTCCACTGCTCTCAAGTCATACAGGGATTTAGTCTTTTATCAGGATCCCCATGCAGCTCATCAGCTTATTTTCCTCGGGTCCACATAAAACATGACAACACAAAACGACCGAATGACATTACAATGATGAAAGTTTTCCAGCAAACAGAACATTTTATGTTTATGTTCATGAATAGAAATAAAAGTTTAAAAATTCATTTTCTTGTAATGAATGTCGTTTGGCTTAGTGTTTATTAAAAGGGCACCTAACACAGTTTTCTGGTGTCAACTTGTTTCTGCTGTGTGTGAAGCATTTAGTGAAAGTTGTATATATGCATTTCCATTGCCACTGCTTTACAGACCTTATCCCAACCTACGTTTGAAAAGAGTTACACAGTTTGTTAACACAACATGGCCCCAGACCCCTAAAAACAGTGATAAAAGGGTTAACACTCAAAAAAACTTGATAGTAGTTTCTTCATTCACATAGCTCTAGCTGGGTGCCATTATAAAGCAATGTGATGTGAACATGTGAGTCATTATGACTGAAAGCAGCAGAACAACGCTCGCGCCATGAGGCAGAGGCTTAGAGAGATGTAGGGATGATGACAAATGAAACCAACTCTTTAGAGTAAATAGAACCGTTTGCAGAAAAGTATTAGACTCTCCAGTAAAGGGATGTTTAGTGCATTAATGAAATGTTTGAATATGCCATTTAAGGGACGATAGGGAAGATTTGTACTTCACATCTGCTGAAGCAACACAGTCTCACTTACTGTGTTGGTTGAAGTGCTCACTTATCATCGGCTTCAATACAAGTACTTCAAACATTAATTTGTGTGCTTTATCATCCTTTCTTAAAACTCACCAGATAGATGCATTTTTTAAAAGTGACAACAACTTTTATGGAATAAATATGTTCAAATAAATTGTTTAATTTAAAGAGGTGTGGTTAAGCTAAATTGCTGCTTGATTATAACTATAGGTTGCTGCTGTCGCGTGAGAAAATTCACATTGCAGGTAAGAGGATGCCATTATCACCACACACACACATACATGATACACACGGGTCTACACTGTGCCCAGAGAAGATAACAGCTTTGCCTCTGAAACGTGATTCTGTTTTTCTACTACCTTTGCTGGAAAATGTGTTGTTCTGTTAAGGCCGCTCACAATTGAAAGCACCCTGTTCTACAAACAAAATGTGTTGCTTTGGATTTTGTAGATGCCATCTACGTTGGTCAGTGAGTAGAGTTTTGATCAATAGGAAGATCAACAGCTCTGTATTCTGCTTTTGTAAATGTAAAATAACCTACATGTTTGTCTAATCTTCTCTTTCACTGATATTTTATTTGTGTTGTGACATTGGACTGGGTTGTTAAGTGATGTTAAAGTAGCCCACTGAGACACATTGGACTATATAATAGACCTGAATTGTGCAGCTGCTTTAAGATTTCATGTCAGATAAAGCTAATGATTCAGAACAGCCACTGGCTTTCATCACATCTTGTTGGACTTACAGGAGGGAATATGAGTTTGTTTACACCCATGGTTTGAAGAGTTCTGTCCATCAACAGTACAATCAGTGGCTTGTTCGCAGCAGCTGGGGCAAAATCATGCCAAGTAGAAAAGACTGAAGGAGGCAGGCGGCTTGTCACGCAGTTAGATGACAGAGAAATGGAACACAAATGCACAAGCAAGCACCTGCCACCCGTTCTGGCTTTTCTTGTTTGGCCTGATCAGTGGATTGAGGCTATGGTTTGCCAATTAAACTACATGTCATGAACATACTTGCCAACCCTCCCGATTTTCGCGGGAGACTCCCGATTTCATTGCCCTCTCCCGGGGTCATATTTCTCCCGCATTTCTCCCGATTTCTGACTAAATCAGATTTACTCAGGACTGTTTCCACTCGGACTTTAATACAGCTACACCATTGTTTGGTTTCCGTGGTAGCACGTCTCTTTAGTAGCGCGCGGAACTGAAAGTCTGAGAGGGTGAGCTGATAGTCACAGAAAACAGAACAAGAATCGACAACTATACCCTCTGCTCACTCCTTTCCTGAAAAATACAGGTCCAGCCCACACATATGCTACAGGCTGCAAGACAGTGCACTTCTTACAACTACAATAAGCATGTGTAGATGTTAATCTAATACAGCTCCGGCGATCCACTAACCCCCCCCCCCCCCAAGGTCTCACGGTTGGCAAGTCTGGTCATGAAGCACAAACGAAACTTAAAATTGCACAGCATTAGTGTCATAAGACTGTTGAGTGTGTTTGTCATTCTTAGGCTATAAAAGGATCTCTCCACCTGCAAACATACCAGACAGCTGAGAAACACTTGTGCAGGTAGCCTACGTTAAATAATAATTGTAAGTGTAAGGGCTTTATCTTCATTGTTTGATCATATAACTATATACCGTATGCACCGTTTATATTTTCTTTTCTTTTTATTGTTAGATAATCGACGGAGGTCATTGTTACAGAGATGTTGGGAGGAAAAGCTTTAATCTCAGGCTGCACCCTGCTTGCGCTGGTTACTTTATGTGGTCAAACTGCTCACTGCAAAACCGAAGGTAGGTGATCTTAAAGGAAACAATGCCATATGTACTGTAGGTTTACAACATTTGGAGCTGTACAACTGATAACATACTGTATAGTGAAGGTTGTCAGACACAACAACGTGGCAGCATCCGGGTTTAAGAAAATGCAGTCAATGCTTAAGCTTGTATTCTTTCTTATTTCCAACAGGGGGCAATGACACTATGCAAAAAAAGTCAGACTCTATAGAGAAAGTCGAGAAAATGACTCCAATTCTCAATTTACTACCTAAATAAACCTTTTCCTGACTGTTATGGTCTCTATCACTAGTTTCAGTTCATTTTCAATACAGCATGACGTTCATTTAGTAAATGATGGGTCCTTTTGGAATAAAATAGACAAAGCAAGGTATGCTTCAGGGAGTGGCTACCTTGTGACTCACATTAATACCAGAGTGTTTACCTGATTGAGTGCTTTCAGTGTTTTCATCATACATATTTAAGCAGGCAAATTGTTTAGTTGGACTGTCTGGTGGCACTTCTGGTTTACAAATAGTAATAGCCAAATGCCAAATTAGAAGATTCCACATTTTATTCCACAAACCAATACATTACTACGTCCCCTCACAGTCGATTAGCCTTTGCTTTCAAGCTAAAAATGCCTCAGCTACTTTGAATTACTGTTTTTCAGGTTCAACTCTACTGAAAGACCTGAGAATTGTTCTTGTTGGAAAAACTGGATCTGGAAAAAGTGCTTCTGGAAACACCATCCTGGGAAATCCAAATGCCTTTAAAAAGGATATATCTCCTGAGTCTGTTACTAACAGCTGTCACAAAGAAGAGTCTAATGATGGTGAGAGGAAAGTCGTTGTGATCGACAGTCCCGGACTTTTTGATACTAACAAAACACAAGAAGTTGTGAAAGGAAAAATTGAGGAGTGTATTACGCAGTCAGTTCCTGGACCCCATGCTTTTCTGTTAGTGATCAGTCTGAAAGCTAGATTCACTGATGAGGAGAAGGCCACTGTGAAGTGGATCCAGGATAATTTTGGTTCGGATTCTTCCATGTATACCATCATTCTGTTCACACACGCTGACTTTCTAGAGGATAAATCAGTGTACCAATATGTCTCGGAGAGCTTACATCTAAAAAGACTGATAGACCAGTGTGGAGGAAGGTATCATTCACTCATGAATAACAAGGAAGGAAACAGAATCCAGGTTGAAAGTCTTCTAGAGAAGATAGACAAAATGGTGGAGTTTAATGGAGGAAAACACTACACCAACGAGATGTACCAGCAAGCCCAGGAGAAACTTTATGAGGAGGAAAGGAAAAGAGAGGAAGAGAAGAGGGCATGGTGTAATAAGCTCACTATTTTTTCCGCGATATCTATCGCAGCAGGAGCTTTCTTACCTGCAGGACTTCTCCAGTTTGGGGCTCGTGCATTAGGTGTAGTTGGGTCACTTGCAGCCTATAATTGCACGTTTACGTAGCTCTGTGGAGCCTGTAATAAATACAAATATGGAAAAAGCTATGGATAATGAACGATCCTCAACTCAAAATGATGTTACCTTAATTTTTAACTGAAAATTCAGTCTGCATGCTTGTGTATCAGTGGGAATTAGAAATATGCTGTTATCAGTTTTGCAAAATGGGGTTTTGACTATGTTAGACGAACCATTGACATGCAACAACATTTATTTTAAGCAATGACTTTGGACCAAGCCAGATACACACATAGTTCTCAAATTAATTATTCAGAAACAACAGTTTAAACAAAAAGCATCTACCGGGAATGATCTGGCACAGAGGCTCTAGGAAGTTACTGTTTCCAGCTAATGTCAACCTCAATAGGCTTTAAGTCGAATTCGGCTATCAACATGGCTTTTCTTGTACACTAAATGTATACTGTTTACTAAACATTTATAGTTTACATTTATTTTTAAGAACAATGATTGATTTTGAATTTCTGCAAAACTGTCAATGGCAAAATGACCCCAAAAAGCCCTGGTTTGTCTTTACATATCGTACATATACAAACACACACACACACACACGCACACACACACGCTCTAAGCTAAGCTAAGCTTGAAACACGTACAGTAATTGCTCTTACTAAGCTTTAAACAAAATCTTAATTTGAAATGCATGCTTCATACTGTATGTGATTGTGTTGGAATAAATCGTTCTTCAATAAAGTCTGAAAGATGCTTACTACTTCCCCGGAAGACTCATTAAACCAAATAACAAACTATAATAATAATACTTATGTATTTTAGACATATGTATGATAGTTGATTGAAGTTTTTAAAGGCTATCATATGCTTCTGAGCTTGTACATATATATTTAAGACATTTCGGTTTTGATGTGGGGAATTAACAATGGAAGAATGTGATTGTCTGGTGTTCTCTGTTCTTCACTTTTAAACATCCAAATCTCATTATATGGTAGGTTGCATGCGTTTATTAGTAAATACTTAGCCTTAAATGTTATTCTCTTTTTGTGGTAAAAGCTTCCAAAACCACCAACTGTAATGTAACTAAGTACATTTACTCAAGTAGTGGGATACTTGTACATTAAATGTGCATTTCTGTTTACTTACCCTACTAAATCTCAGAGGGGAATATCATGCTGCACTACATGTATCTGCCAAAACATTGCACAATATAAAGTAGCTCTTTTTTAATAGCTTTAAAAACATTTAAATGCTCTTGATATGTTTTCAATATTGATAAAAACATAATATAACATTTTATAAAAATAGAATACCACGAAAGCTGCTTTGCTGCATAATTAAGATCCTCCTTAAATACATTTCGCCAATTATAATACTGCACTTTTACTTAAATATCATTTTTAAACCAGTACTTTACCTGTAATGGTGTATTTTTAGGCTATGGTATTTGTACTTCAGGAAAGGATCTGAGTACCCGTACACAAACTGCTCAGTGTATTCACAGAGCTGTGGACAGCCTCTTTGGGGATGCACTTTTCAGATGTAAACTGAAGACAATAGAAGGAAATAGGAAGCCCCCTTTGTAAAGGCCAGGCTTCCAGAAGTTTCCCAGAAAATCAAAATCAATGTCTGAAGTCAAACCACGGAGCTTGTCTAAGTTTACAACTCAGGCCTGGAACAACACATTTGGCCACCTGGGAACTGGAAAAAGTGATATTGAAGTAATGGCTGAAGGTAAGACAACCTTTCTGACTTACTTAAATAAACAACCGTGATCTTTTATCCCTGTGAGATGTAAAACTTACTGTGACACTGTGGCTCTGGAAAGAGAAAATCGTAAAAACCTGGACCTTGATAATGATGTCAGTGACTAATAGTGGAATTTGTTTTTGTCTCAATGGAATAATTTCCATTACAGCAATACCACTGCGAGAAAAGAATCAGAAAACTCTTCCTCGGGCTGATGGGTGTGGTCTGAACAGCTTTGACGGTATGCTCATTCATTGTCTCATGAAATCTCTAACTATATGTCTATACCACCTTCTAACAAGAAACACTTTATACTGGCTTAACCTGATTGTTTTGTTTGTTTTGACCAAATCATTTCTAAGGATAGAGGGTGTCGTTTTTCTCATACTGATATTCTGAACAATCTGTGCTGTTGTATTTGCTGTAAAGTGTCTCTACTGTAGGCTAATTTTATTATATGTACAGCACTTTGGCTCGACCAATAATCGTTTATAAATGTGCTATATAAGTAAAATTTGATTTGATTTGATTTATTTTAGGATTTCCAGGTTGTGAAAAATCCCTTTGTCTGGTGTTTATTCTTCTCTGGTATTACAGGGTCTACCTTTGGCTGCTTGATTTTGATGGCTTAACAGGAAAAAGCATGATTCTTTATTGTCTCTCGCACATCTATAACTGCAGACTAATTTCTTTAAAGTCACTTATTAACTTTTTGAAGTTGTTAAACGAGAGGTGTTATCAATGTTACTAAGCTATAAAGGGTTAGGCCACTACAATAAAAGATACAATGTTGTACATTGTACGAATTATGTATGAGCTTTTTCGTGTTCAGTGCTTGAATGCTTCCTGATGGATTAAAGCTGCACCAAGTTACTATAGGTCTACATTTAGTGTTTTGCAACAAAAAGGTAGTCCCATTTGGCCAATAGACTTGTTATTTGGATGACATCATTAATGTGATTCATGCTTTAAAAAATCTGAATAGAATGAGTAACAATCAACGTCCCTTTTCTGTCTGAGGTGTCATGTAAACGTGTTTGCAGTCGTCTCTTTAGCAATGATTTTAGTGCCCCAGGAGATTCATTTAAGCCGCAGTATCACAGTTGGCCACATATGGAAAAGTGGGGTTAAAAAATCTTGTTAACATTGTGTCCAGTTTAGCGCTTTTTATTCTCTAGCTTCTCATTTATTTCATAGTTTTTAACAGAAGTAAGTACTTCTGTGGATTGGAAATAATGTTTTGGCCCAATCATAGCACTTCAGCTTTATCACATGGTTTTACACCACGTTTGCTGGCCCATATGCTTGAGTTCTTTGTGAATTGATGCCACCAAATATCAATTAGGTAGAGGTTATGCGCGGCCTCACGGTTGTCCACAATACTAAAAAATCTACTTTGTGGTCCATAGGGGTCAAGTCTGTACTATATGGAGGGGGATACACATCATTCAAAGAGGTCTTTCACAACCATTGCAACCCAAATTGTGCTTAATAACCAACACACTCATGCTGATTAATGGAAAACACATTAACTAAACATTAGCAATTGGCTAAACATAAATTCTGCTGTTCCAGCTGGGGACATTTCTGGAGGGTTGCGGATTGTCCTGGTGGGCAAGACTGGATCTGGCAAGAGTGCGACAGGAAACACCATCCTTGGGAGAGCTGCCTTCAAAGAAGACCCGAGCCCTGTATCTGTGACCAAACACTGCGAGACACAGAGCGGGGAGGTGGACGGGACTGTGGTCCAGGTGATTGACACTCCAGGTCTGTTTGATACAGGCATCACAGAGGAAGAATTGAAAACCAGAATAGAGGAATGCGTCACAATGTCCGTGCCCGGCCCTCACGCCTTCCTACTCGTGATCAGGCTCGGAGTAAGATTCACCGAGGAGGAAAGAAACGCTGTGAAGTGGATCCAGGACAACTTTGGGGATGATGCCTCCATGTACACTATCATGATGTTTACATGCAAAGATCAGGCCAAAGCTGACAATGCTCTGAAGGAGTGCAAGGAGCTGCGGAGACTCTCTATTACGTTTGGACGCCGGTACCATGCCTTTAACAACAAAGACCCGCAGGACCAAGTACAGGTCAAAGATTTGATTACCATGGTCAAGCAAATGATCCAGGAAAATGGGGGGAAACACTACACCAATGAGCTGTATGAGAAAGCCCAGAGGAAGCTGAGGGAGGAGGAGGAGCGGAAGATACAAGAGGAGGAAGAGAAGAAGGAGGAGGAGAGGAAAATATGGGATGCAGAGAGGGAGGAGAAAGAGAAACAGAGAGAAAAGGAGAAGAAGGTTAAAAGGAAGAATATACGCGTGGCCTCGGCTGCTGCTGTTGTGCTGGTGTTAGCGGGGGCTATCATAGCAGTGGGGGCCGACACCACGGTGGCTTTGGCTCTAGGCGCTCCTGTGCTCCTGCTGGGAGTGTTATGTGGTTTAGCTGCTTTTTGTGTCTGGAAGGGCATAAGATGCAAAGCGAAAGCAAATGTTCCGGTATAGGCAGAGGTTAGTGACTAAGACAAGGTGACATACAGTAGAAGTATACTGCACTCATGATTGTTTTAATTAATCTGTGAATGGTGTTTTCGTATTATCCTGCATTCTTCTTCTAGGATTATTAAGTTTGGACACAACATTGCTATAACTGAAGTATGTGAATTAAATGCTGGCAGTAAACAAACGGTATGACATGCAATACGTGTTTTCTTCTTTTTGTTTTCTTTCCTCTCATTTATCGTTTGGAGCTTAGATATGAGACCCATGCCCCGAGTTATACTTGAACAACTAAGTTTGAATGTGTTGACATGTTCTCTATAGATCTCATAACGTTTGTAAGTACATTGGGCATGATTTCATAACTTATGGGATAATAAAATGTTTATGGATGTGCCGTTTCCATTGTTTTATTATTAGTAACATTATGAGCTCACTTCCCTAAAGGAAATGAGAGACAATGGTCAACGTCCGCTGACCGATCACATTTCACTGAGGAAGCATTCTTAACAGAGCCACCTCTGACAATAACATACCAACAACATGATGAATTTAGACTGTTTAACCCCAAGTCTGCAATCAAATTATGGTGTTGTGTCATTTCAAAAGTATGAGGAACATAAAATAAGTACAGTGTATCTTTATATAGATATGTTTTACAGGTTCTGACAAGTTAGATCTTTTTTTGTATTTCTTTAAAGGAATTGTTTTTAGGGTAATCATTTCCATCCACTGTAAACTATTTGAACTTATGACATGCTCTTGATATCTAAGACAAATATATTTCCTCTGTGTTTCCTTCCTATTCCTTTGGCCAATTCAAAGAGAGGATTTGGCCATGTTTTTGAAAGACTCAAAATCAGAGAGTGTACTGAGGTTACATTGTATACAATTCTGTACTACTCATTTCATCCATTATATCATTACCAAAACACACACAAAAAAAATTGTGGGACCCTTTTTTTCATTTGTGATGGCACCATTTTTGACCAATACAGCATCATCATCAAATAAAAAATGTTCAAGACAGAAAACACCAAAGCCAATGAAAAATCAATGAAAATAATGCACACAAACTAACATTTCAAAATAGACATAAGAAAGAGTGACATTATTTTTCTTTAAGTCATGTTTATTGATATGAATGTTTTACATCTGTCAGCTTTACATTTGATCATGTGAAAAAAAAGATGGAGCTGTTGAATTAATAAATGATAATACATGATGTTATTTATAGGTTTGACACCTATAATACACAATGAATGCCTTACTGCCTAAAGTGGTTACTGATGCTTACATTACATATATGTTTTTAGTTTTTCACAACAATGACCTTACAAGTTAACAACCGTTGTTTTAGGTTTCATCCACCACCCAATGGCTTTAGAAATCCCTGCAGCTGCTGCTAAAGGAACACCAGCTACAGGGGAATTAACAGCAGTGGTGAATACTGCTGCCAAAATCATGTTATTACTCAAATTGTCCATAGTAACTGCCCACTTGCTCCACCATTCCTTTGAATTCTTCTTTCTCTGGGTCTCTTCGTACATGCTCCACGTATAATGCTGGTAACAATTCAACTGCACCATCTTGTCTATCTTTTCAAACAGATCAGCCACCTGAGTGTGGTTTTCCATGCATGTATTTTCAAACACAATGTACCCAGCTGTATAGATACTGAGGCACTCTTTGAGCTCAGGGTGTTGGTATAAATGAGTCTCAATGGACTTCTCCTTGAGCTCATCCCCCCTGGTGAAAAGCACCAGTGTGTGTTTGGAGGCTTCCTCACCAAAGTTGTCTTTGACCCACTTGATGGCAGACTTCTCCTCTTCTGTGAACCGTACATCCAGTCTGATCACCAGCAGGAACACATGTGGTCCGGGGTCAGTCAGTGTGAGACTTCGCTCTATTTCAATGTTCAACAGTTTTTCATTCATTGATGTGTCCAAGATACCAGGAGTGTCGACCACAGTCACGGTTCTTTTATCAAAGTAGCCAGACTCTTTGTTAGAGGTGTCTGTCACAGAGGATGGAGAAGCCTCTGAGGTGAAAACACTTTGTCCCAGGATGGTGTTCCCTGATGCACTCTTTCCTGATCCAGTCTTCCCCAGCAGGACGATCCTCAGGTCGCAGTCTGTGGAACAAATCAAAGAGAGGCAGTTGCTTTGAATCTTGAGTTTTAAGTTAGTTAAAATAAGGAGTACTAAGCCTGCATATATGCCTAAACACAAGTAAAGACACTTACCTTCACTTGAGCTTAAACCCATCTTGTTGTAGAGGTTGAAAAACCACACAGAACCGAGTTCTATCCCCTAAATCTGCCAGTGTTGTCCAGCCTTTATTTCCAGATCACACTCTGCATTGCTGTGTGTTAGTTATTTCCCCTCCCTTCCCTCCCTCAGTGGTTTCCAGTGAAATGAAACTCTCTGTCTTCTCCACCACGTGGTTTCCCTGGAAAGTGAAACTTTCAGAAATCTGTTTGGGATTAAAACATTGTTGAAATAGTTTAGACATTTTAAATGCTAAAGCTTGTAACATCCTAATCTCAGTTTTGCCTCCACCTCTTAAGGAGACGTGTCATTATTACGATCAGATTCAAGATTTTGGTGAATAGTGTGCCCTTCATTGGAAACAGTGTAGCAACTTTTTTGGTAACAACTTCCCGGTTTATAATCAACACAATAAGTGGTTAAATGTTAACCATGGAACTACTTTCTACTTTCTACTATGAAAGATTTGAGATTGACTTTTGTGGATTACAATGACAGAATGAGCAGTAGAGAATGGTTCACAGAAAGTAGCTTTTCTGATGTGGTGCCTGTATTAAAGTATTACCAGTCGTCCCCTTTGAGATTTTTTTTTAACAAGGCTGCGGTTCTGTTCACGTTAAGCTGCACCGCTTTGTTAAATATCTTTACAAAACAAATATTGAATGTAGGTTTGGTTACATTGATCAACTTTGATAAAACCATTAGCAATCATAAAAGCATTTTGGCAGCTGTTGAATTGTGCTAGCACAGTAACAGGAGTTTCAAACAACCTTGTGACCTTTCATGTAAAACAAACCAGGTAGATCCTAATATAACTTGTAATTGTGTAGGAGTTTTATCTTAATATCACGTGGACCTTTAACTTGAGACTGATGGGTGATAAATGTGGTGTTATGTACACTGAAGTTCATGTTTTTCAGTTAGCATGGTCCCATAAGAGATTTGTGTTTTTTTTACACAAGATCCACAGTGGGTCTTTATCTTATGCAATCAACCAGACTTGGTTTATGAAAAACAAACATCAGTGTGGAGCCCTGGATGATGTGGTGAGATTTCTTGCACAACAGGGAATAATTTCTAATAACGTTTTTTTTAATACATCAAACAACAGTTTCAAAAGTTAAAACCACATTGTTTTATTTCATTATGACTAGTAAAACATACACAAGGAAGAATAGTGTTTTCAATACAAAATCATTTTCAGGATAAGAGTGTACAGAATCAATATAAGATTGGCTATTCAGAGTTTATATATCGTGCAATGCAGGTTGTGTTTGATATTTATGAATGTACATTAAGCAATGACATTTTTCCTACATGTATTCAAAAAAGGCAATCAATGGAATTACTTCACAAGTTTGCTTAAAGTTACTACGAGAAACTTTCCTTTTGTGTTGCTCTGACTGCAGGTTCTGGTTCTGGTACCTGTATGATATCCCCTGCCTCAGCCAAAATCAGACATGTATGCACCAATGACAAGTATTCAGAATAACCTCATAAAAAAACCCAATCTTGACTTGGATTGATGGTCTTGTTTACTACAGTATGTATATAGTCATACAGATGCATCATCTATTACACAAAGACAGGTTACAAGTTCCTCTCTGTAACTTTAAAGGATCATGGCTTGACTACCCACCACCCAAGGCCTTTTAAAATCCCTCCCCATAGAAGTGGTGTTACGGCCTTAGCTGCTGCTGCTGGTGCCGCAGCAGCAGCAGCACCAACAGCAGCAGCACCAGCAGCACCAGCAGCAGCTGTGATTGTTGCTGCAGTTAACAAATGAGTACCGTACTTCAAATTGTTTGCCCACTTGCTCCGCCATTCCCTTGAATTCTTCTTTCTCTGGGCCTCTTCGTACATGCTCCAGGTATAAGGGTTGTAACCATTCAACTGCACCATCTTGTCTATCTTTTCAAACATATCAGCCACCTGAGTGCGATTATCTCTGCATGTGTTTTCAAACACAATGTACCCAGCCGTAAAACAACTGATACACTCCTTTAGTTCAGGTCCCTCGAATAAAAAAGTCTCAATGGTCTTCTCCTTGAGCTCATCCCCCCTGGTGAAAAGCACCAGTGTGTGTTTGGAGGCTTCCTCACCAAAGTTGTCTTTGACCCACTTGATGGCAGACTTCTCCTCTTCTGTGAACCGTACATCCAGTCTGATCACCAGCAGGAACACATGTGGTCCGGGGTCAGTCAGTGTGAGACTTCGCTCTATTTCAATGTTCAACAGTTTTTCATTCATTGATGTGTCCAAGATACCAGGAGTGTCGACCACAGTCACGGTTCTTTTATCAAAGTAGCCAGACTCTTTGTTAGAGGTGTCTGTCACAGAGGATGGAGAAGCCTCTGAGGTGAAAACACTTTGTCCCAGGATGGTGTTCCCTGATGCACTCTTTCCTGATCCAGTCTTCCCCAGCAGGACGATCCTCAGGTCGCAGTCTGTGGAACAAATCAAAGAGAGGCAGTTGCTTTGAATCTTGAGTTTTAAGTTAGTTAAAATAAGGAGTACTAAAGCCTGCATATATGCCTAAACACAAGTAAAGACACTTACCTTCACTTGAGCTTAAACCCATCTTGTTGTAGAGGTTGAAAAACCACACAGAACCGAGTTCTATCCCCTAAATCTGCCAGTGTTGTCCAGCCTTTATTTCCAGATCACACTCTGCATTGCTGTGTGTTAGTTATTTTCCCTCCCTTCCCTCCCTCAGTGGTTTCCAGTGAAATGAAACTCTCTGTCTTCTCCACCACGTGGTTTCCCTGGAAAGTGAAACTTTCAGAAATCTGTTTGGGATTAAAACATTGTTGAAATAGTTTAGACATTTTAAATGCTAAAGCTTGTAACATCCTAATCTCAGTTTTGCCTCCACCTCTTAAGGAGACGTGTCATTATTACGATCAGATTCAAGATTTTGGTGAATAGTGTGCCCTTCATTGGAAACAGTGTAGCAACTTTTTTTGGTAACAACTTCCCGGTTTATAATCAACACAATAAGTGGTTAAATGTTAACCATGGAACTACTTTCTACTTTCTACTATGAAAGATTTGAGATTGACTTTTGTGGATTACAATGACAGAATGAGCAGTAGAGAATGGTTCACAGAAAGTAGCTTTTCTGATGTGGTGCCTGTATTAAAGTATTACCAGTCGTCCCCTTTGAGATTTTTTTTTAACAAGGCTGCGGTTCTGTTCACGTTAAGCTGCACCGCTTTGTTAAATATCTTTACAAAACAAATATTGAATGTAGGTTTGGTTACATTGATCAACTTTGATAAAACCATTAGCAATCATAAAAGCATTTTGGCAGCTGTTGAATTGTGCTAGCACAGTAACAGGAGTTTCAAACAACCTTGTGACCTTTCATGTAAAACAAACCAGGTAGATCCTAATATAACTTGTAATTGTGTAGGAGTTTTATCTTAATATCACGTGGACCTTTAACTTGAGACTGATGGGTGATAAATGTGGTGTTATGTACACTGAAGTTCATGTTTTTCAGTTAGCATGGTCCCATAAGAGATTTGTGTTTTTTTTACACAAGATCCACAGTGGGTCTTTATCTTATGCAATCAACCAGACTTGGTTTATGAAAAACAAACATCAGTGTGGAGCCCTGGATGATGTGGTGAGATTTCTTGCACAACAGGGAATAATTTCTAATAACGTTTTTTTTAATACATCAAACAACAGTTTCAAAAGTTAAAACCACATTGTTTTATTTCATTATGACTAGTAAAACATACACAAGGAAGAATAGTGTTTTCAATACAAAATCATTTTCAGGATAAGAGTGTACAGAATCAATATAAGATTGGCTATTCAGAGTTTATATATCGTGCAATGCAGGTTGTGTTTGATATTTATGAATGTACATTAAGCAATGACATTTTTCCTACATGTATTCAAAAAAGGCAATCAATGGAATGACTTCACAAGTTTGCTTAAAGTTACTACGAGAAACTTTCCTTTTGTGTTGCTCTGACTGCAGGTTCTGGTTCTGGTACCTGTATGATATCCCCTGCCTCAGCCAAAATCAGACATGTATGCACCAATGACAAGTATTCAGAATAACCTCATAAAAAAAACCAATCTTGACTTGGATTGATGGTCTTGTTTACTACAGTATGTATATAGTCATACAGATGCATCATCTATTACACAAAGACAGGTTACAAGTTCCTCTCTGTAACTTTAAAGGATCATGGCTTGACTACCCACCACCCAAGGCCTTTTAAAATCCCTCCCCATAGAAGTGGTGTTACGGCCTTAGCTGCTGCTGCTGGTGCTGCCGCAGCAGCACCAGCACCAACAGCAGCAGCACCAGCAGCACCAGCAGCAGCTGTGATTGTTGCTGCAGTTAACAAATGAGTACCGTACTTCAAATTGTTTGCCCACTTGCTCCGCCATTCCCTTGAATTCTTCTTTCTCTGGGCCTCTTCGTACATGCTCCAGGTATAAGGGTTGTAACCATTCAACTGCACCATCTTGTCTATCTTTTCAAACATATCAGCCACCTGAGTGCGATTATCTCTGCATGTGTTTTCAAACACAATGTACCCAGCCGTAAAACAACTGATACACTCCTTTAGTTCAGGTCCCTCGAATAAAAAAGTCTCAATGGTCTTCTCCTTGATGTCATCCCCCCTGGTGAAAAGCACCAGTGTGTGTTTGGAGGCTTCCTCACCAAAGTTGTCTTTGACCCACTTGATGGCAGACTTCTCCTCTTCTGTGAACCGTACATCCAGTCTGATCACCAGCAGGAACACATGTGGTCCGGGGTCAGTCAGTGTGAGACTTCGCTCTATTTCAATGTTCAACAGTTTTTCATTCATTGATGTGTCCAAGATACCAGGGGTGTCGACCACAGTCACAGTTCTTTTATCAAAGTAGCCAGACTTCTTTTTACATGTCTTGGTCACAGAGGATGGAGAAGCCTCTGAGTTGAAAACACTGTGTCCCAGGATGGTGTTGCCTGATGCACTCTTTCCTGATCCAGTCTTCCCCAGCAGGACGATCCTCAGGTCGCAGTCTGTGGAACAAATCAAAGAGAGGCAGTTGCTTCGAATTCTTTGGAGTAAGTAGTACAAAAAGTGTTGTTGTGTGCTGTGCTGAAGCGCGTTGATCTTTGCACATATACTGCTGTATATACTGTATATACGCCTCGGTGTATTTATTTTTATTTATGCATTTTACATCTATATCTTTACTTGTATTGTGCATTTATTTTGTACAGACTGCTTATAGATGTGTATATAACTGACTGTTTGTACTCTGGTTAGACCCTCTTAATTTTGTTACACTCTGCTTGCATTATGTAATGACAATAAAGTATCTAATCTAATCTAAAAGCCTGCATATACGCTTAAACACAAGTAAAGACACTAACCTTCTCTTGAGCTCGAACCCATCTTGCTGTTGAGAAAAACACAAATTAAAACTGACTTATTGCACAAAATCTGTCTTTGCTTTTCTCAACCGTTTCTTCCACATCACAGTGTGCCTGTACTTATTTGTGCTGTGTTACTCCACCCTCCCCCTCTTTTTGACTCAATGGTTTCCCTGGAAAGTGAAACTTAAACTGTCCGAAGGCTGGAGACTTCATGCAAAAGGACCAATCCCCTTTTGGCATGCATTCTTAAAGGAGTCATGTTTTTGTCCCTCCATGTTTCACACTGAAATATTGTTTAAATTAGACAAAGATGTGCAATTACAATATAATCAGACCAGTGTTCAATCTTTTGTGGCGACTAGGGCGGTCGGGGACCAAACATGCTATTCAACAAGTTTGCATTGCAGCTATCAAAGACAAATACAATTTGACCCAGACATTGCTGCCAGCTTGATGTACAGTCAGGAATTCTATTTCTCAGCTAATCAACAAAACCTCTTCCGGCAATAGGCAAAATGCAAATAATAGGCACTCTGGACCCAAGTGCCTGGAAAGGCGGGATGTTAAGGCTGGAGTTGGAATCGTTGTAGTCTCTCTAATGCCACCTAGTGTCTCTAAAGAGCAACTCTCCATTTACCCACCTGCATGATATCAACAACTAAAGTGCTAGCTAATAAAGATATTAGAGTAGATTTTCTTCACTCGTTTTGTACAATTGGTTTGTTCAATGTTCCACTTGTCGGGTCTCCAATCTCCTCCTCGGCTCCATTCATCGCCTCAATATGGCCTCCGACTCCAAGATATGACAACATGGTAGCAATCAACAATGTCTGAAACAAAGTGTCCTTGTGCTGTATTATTCTGCATAACTAGCTGTGTGTGTGTGTGTGTGTGTGTGTGTGTGTGTGTGTGTGTGTGTGTGTTTAGTATGCAGTATTACACACTGCTGCCCTCCCACACCCCTGTGTATGAAATCCAGAGAGACAAGCTGGCCAGTCATAACAGAAGAAAGACACCAACTACTCACATCACATGACTATACAACCCAGAAACGACGAAGAACCATCAACCTGCTCTCTTTGGACATCTGATTGTGAGATTATTGATTCAAAGGTAAGATTTTTAAAGTTGTATTTAGTTGTAACTGGGAAAATTAGAAGAACAGGTCCAGATGGAAAACGTTCAATGTTTTTATTCTTAATTACTGTACTGTTACATTACGTAATTATATGTTGTACAAATGTTACAAAACAAAAATGCCATGCCATTAGTTCAGATCTGTAATGACTTGAAGGAATGCTTCAACGCAAAAATAATAACTTATGTATCAATTACTTATCTTTTTTAGCTTGAATTTCTGATGTACGTAGAACAGTAAATTATTCAGAAATGATTGAGGAATTGAAGCCAATGGGTGCCACAAAATGTGACCAAAACATTTGTTGACAAACTCTCTCCAGTCATATGCTTTCTACTTTAAAATGTCACTATACACTTAATTTAAAACGCTCCTACTCCCTGTGGAGACATGAGTAATGTTTTCTTTACAATTTCCAGGTTGGATATACAATTATATACAAATGATCCTGTTTGGGGGGTGGAGTATTCATCTAATGTGTTCATTTAAAATGTGCTTCCATGAATTTAATGTAATGAAAACTGTCATCTAACAACAGGTGGTGAACAAGAAACTGAAGAGAAGAAGGGGCTCTCACAGTCACTGGACATTTTACTGAATGAATAAACTCTGTGAAGGCTTGACTTTCATCTACTGAGTGCTCAGCAGCATCGTAGTGATTGGACTGAGATTATTCTAAGGAACATTTCTCTTACATTGAGAGCACATTCAAGTGTCTTTCAGCAGCCATGGCTTCAACAGGTCTTCAGCTGCTGGGCTTGGTGTTGGCGGTGCTGGGTTGGGTTTGCGGGGCGTTGGTGTGCGCGGCTCCTCTGTGGCGTGTTTCCGCCTTCGTGGGGGGAGAGCTGGTGATTGCCCAGGTGGTGTGGGAGGGACTGTGGATGAACTGCCTGTCTCAGACCACAGGCCAGATTCAGTGCAAGACCTATGACTCCACCCTGGCCCTTCCTGTGACTGCCCAAGCCGCCCGGGGCCTCACTGTTCTCTCCCTGCTCCTCTGCCTCCTGGCCCTCATGCTCGGGGTGGCGGGGGCCAAGTGCACTCACTGCATGGGTGATGGTAACCAGGCCTCCAAGGTTCGGGTGGGCAGGATAGCAGGGGTGCTCTTCCTGGTGGCTGGCTTGGCGTTCATGATACCCATCTGTTGGACCGCCCATGCAACTATCCGGGACTTCTATGATCCCAATATCGCAGCGCCTTATAAGAGAGAGCTGGGCCCAGCGCTGTACCTGGGCTGGGGGGCCAGCCTGCTGCTCATGGTGGGGGGCTTTCTGTTGCATTTGGGGTCCTCTCAGCAAAGCAGAGGAAGACTGCCTACTTTTGCTGGAGTGCTGAAAGACAACCCAGGTACAGGTGCAGCCGGAGAGGGGAAGCCACAGGAGAAATCTTTTGTATGAGATGATTTTATTGGACAAGAGAGATACAAACAAACACAGAGGTCGCAACCTTGTCACACAAGCTTCAGAAAATCACAAGGTCACCATCTATTGGAGGGTATTCAGCATATAGCCTTTTATATCTTATAAAGCGGTTAAAGGATTGCATTTTATTTTGAATTTCATTAGTCATTGGTAAATGATAGTTTGACATGTATTCATTCATTTACATGATATGAAACAAAGAGTTTGTAGTAGAATTTACATTATTTAACAGCTTTCTCTCAGAGTAGGAGTTGACATGCATTGTGGGAGTATTTAAATGTTTTGAGCCTTACTAATGTGTGTGACTCACATTTCTTAAATTCCACTCTGCCTCTGCCTATGTGTGTGTGTGTGTGTGTTGTGTATGTGTGGGTGGTCTGTGTACAGAAGACCAGTGTACAGTATATCTGTGTATGCTGGTGTGTTTACTGAAAACATGTGAGGGGAATTATTGTTTATTTTCTTATTATGAATGTTTCTGAGCATTTGGCATTTCTGAGCAAATGTATTTTTTATTTAAATGTATTTTATTGTTTTATTTGATATTAATTTTAACTGGGTTTTGTATATGTATTTCTACAGTACTTTCTTATTGATATCAGGTCCAACACAGCAATTTTCCCATATACGTTTTAAAGCTTTTTTTTAAAACTGACAATTCTAAATAATTATCAAAGTGTTAATATTATACAGCAGTAGTAGTTTTGTTCCTTTAGTTTACTGGAAAATGCATTGCTTATCTAATGTTTTAATTTCTGACTTGATGTAGTTTACTAAAATTACCATTATAGCCAATGCCATGTCTTACATATATTTCAGAGATGTAGCAATTCTTATAATGTTTACAGCTTCTCCCACTGTACAGTTGTCATAATAATTATTCAGTACATGTACATAAGTGGGAAATTGCATTTTCCAGCCTTATTCTTTGTATTGACGGTGGTTTGTATAATTTATAACTACGGAATAGTTGGCCATGGGGAAAAATGCATTAAGATGCAAAATAGGATCCCAATTTTCCTTTAATGAAATTATATTTGTGCAAATTGTCACTCTGCCTAACGTGATCAGATTATACAAAATAAAAAAGCAGCACATGAGTAATTTATATTTACTATAAATATCTACTGGGCCAATCCGGATTTATGGTGGTCCTACTTTGGCCCACGGTCGCCCACTTTGTGCAGCCTGGTCAAAAACAACGAATGAGCATGCAGGTCCATTTTGGGTCGAGGCTTTTGGAAATAAGCAATGTCTACATTCTCACTCCAATCCGACATGTATTCAAATGGCAAACCATTATGATTATACCCAAATAAGAGCCCAAATCATTATTTTACCTTCATGTGTTGTAACAGCAGATATAGTACAGTAGGGGGCAGTAAACACACAGTAACTGAACTGCACTCTTGCATGAACAGCCATTAACAAGACAATGTAAACACTACATCCTAATAAGTATACAATATAAAGCAAGTTGGAGAGACCAATATGGATGCTAGTTTACAGCTTTTATCAACCTGTCTGTAATATTTGATATACAATTAATAGTATGCCAGTTTGTCTTTCTGCTAAAATATGTTGCTGTGATTATTAAAATGTTTGATTTTCGATGATTGTCAAATAATGTCATGTCTTTTTTTCCCACTTTGGACATGGCTCAGTTGGTCCCTGAGTGGACTCATATTAGGCAATTCAAATGTAACATGTTGCACCAGTATGGGTTGTATTGCTTTATAGTTGCTTTTGGTTGAGAAGCTGCAATTGATTTGTGGGAGAACTGTATTGGACACATTATAACAGAAACTTAAACAGCATGGTGCCAACAGTCGTCCAAAAAAAGGAACAGAAATTCAACAGTGACTTTCTGTAGTTTATGTGCTGACTTGCTAACTCTTGATAACACAGGACAGCGGATTTGTTTTAGGCGATAGGGAAAAATAACTGCATGCAAAGCCTTTCTTCTGTCTGGAGTGTGCTAAAAGTTCCTCTTTCTTAAAAAAATATAAAAACAAGTCTGTAATCTTTCTTAAAATTGTATTATCAGGTGGATATTCTTCTACCCTTTACTCAAACGAGACAAGACATTTATTACTGCATTTTGCCATTCAATAACATTGATTGTACATATGTTTTCATAGAATATTTTATTATGTATTTTAATATAATATATATATATAATATATAATACTTTAATTTTATAATAATATCTGGTATGTATCAGAAGTCAATGGGGAACATTAAATGGAATGTTTTGAGAACAATGGAAAACTTTTCCATTGAAAGGTTATTAGACTTTTCAATACCGAAACTGCTGAATTAAAAAAAACAATAACAATTTATTTTATATAAAACAGAAAGAGCACTGGCATCTAAATAAAGATGTGCGTGCGTGCGTGCGTGCGTGCGTGCGTGCGTGCGTGCGTGGGTGCGTGCGTGCGTGCGTGCGTGGGTGCGTGCGTGCACGAGAGAGAGAGAGAGAGAGAGAGAGAGAGAGAGAGAGAGAGAGAGAGCTCACCGGTACCGGAGATCGTTGTTGTTAGCTTCTGGTGCTAGCAAGCTATGCTAACGGATACAAGGAGCTTTTTCAACAGCAAGAGCCGCGTTCACACCACAGTACTTTTCCCACTTTAGTTCCGATATAGTTCCGAAATGTCGCGTTCACACCAAAAAGAGCCGGAACTCAAATTAGTTCATGAGAACCTTCTTACCCCCTTTTCCGTCAGTTTTCAGTCCCTGCTATGCCCCTTTCACACCAATGCGTTTTCAGTTCTCGGAGCTAGAGCCTGAAAAGTACCGGTTTTTCCTCTTCACACCGCACTCTGGAGAAAAGTATAAGGTTGGAGAAGTTTTTATTTAATTTAATCTGGCTTCGTATGATTAAAAGCAACACGATCATCGACCCAATGCAGTTGTTGTTGTTGTTGTTGTTGTTGTGAGCGTGGCGAGCAAATCAGCGGTGTAAATGATGACGCAGCAGCGGCAGCACCAGTCGGGCTCTGGGCGGTGTGAACAAAGCGGGAGCAGAAAAGGGAAACCGGAGCTGAACCAGAAAAGCTCTAGCTCTAGGCTAGAATGGGAAAAGCGCTGGTGTGTAAGCCGCACTAGAGAGCAGGTACTTTCGTGGGAGAAAAAGGTTCCTATGTCTGATTGGCTGGGCGGTATGCAAACCACGCCCCGTAAAACTCCCAAAAAGTTTTGTGAAGCCACCATTTTATTATCCTTAGTAGCTGCTGCTGGGAGTCCCAGCAGCTTCTACTGAAGCCAGTCCCCAACTCCGGGGACTTCCGGCCGGGGACTTCGGGTGGCAGTATACACCGTGAAGATGTTTGCGGCCTGTCAGTAAACCCAAAGCAGAAGAAGTGACGTCAGCGGCTTCATTTGCCTAATCCTTCCCCAGGAATTTATTCCGGTGTGAACGCGGTGTGAATTTAGTTCTGATGAACTAAAGTGGGAAAAGTACTGCGGTGTGAATGCAATGCGCCTATAGTGAAGGAGAGTCCTCTCCTGTCAGACTGAGAGGTTCAGTGAACTAAAGGACTCTCTGAGTGTTTAGATAGTTAACTTTAGTCTAAGTTATCTCAGTGGGTCTAACGTTTTGGTCACGATTAATGTAAACAATTATTTCCGAGGCACACGTTAATTATGATCATTATAGTTATAAAAAATAAGAGAATAAATGAAAAACAGGTATGAAATACTATATATAGCCGGGGGTAAGGTGTATCCTCAGGGCAAATATCCTCACTGTAGGGCTCGTAACAGACGTGTCACACGTGCTCATTCTGTTTCTCTCCCAGGTCCCGACACTAAGCGATTGTGTTTTTATTGTCTTGACCCTGGTCATTTAGTGGCGGAGTGTGTGGCTTGGAAGCAGCAGGTGGCAGCTTCCAAGCATGCTTGTGAAATATGTAATGAGTGTTGTTGGTAACTGTGACCAAACACTGGTTTGGTTTTATGGGGGGAAGTGTTACGTGCCGTAGTGTTTGTGTGGTCGTGTATGTGTGTTTCTCTCTCTCTCCCTCTGATTCCCCAGGTGCAGCCTGATTGTCCCCAGGTGCAGCCTCTCCCCAGGTGCTCCCAATCACTAATCAGGTCCTCCATAAAGGACCTGGGAAAAGCTGCAGTCTCTCTCTCCCTTCTCCCCGGGCTGGATGTGTGCAGCGTGGTGTCAATGTCTCCAATATATATATATATTTGTAGCAAGAGTTGTTTTGCAAGTTGGCTGGTGAGCCGTGTTCCTGATTGATCATTAAACGACTGGATCGTTACTCAGAGATCGGTTTTCTCTCCCTTTTTGTCGTGCTTGGTCATCCTGGTGTGTTGTTACTTCCCTTTGTACCCCCCTAGATCTAGAAGGGAACGTAACAGACAGTAAAAAAAGAATAAAGTTTAAAAGGGTGATTTGTAAAATATCCATAAAGAAAAAGTACATCTGTTTACAGTTCTGTTTCAAATGGGTATTTCTTCATTTTGCTCTCGAAGTGCACCAGATTGATGCTTTTAACTTCAATATTTAAAAAAAAATCTTGCCTGGGGAGCATGCCCCCGGAATCCTCTGTGAGGTCCACACACCACCTATAAAAATAGCACTTTACCCCTGCTTACACCTATATGCCGTGAGCTGATTATCGAGCCTTCATTGTAACAGTTGCAGGTACACTGTATACACACAGTTTCTACTGCAACACTCCCCACACGCATATATGCGTGTGGGGAGCACCCCCAAAAGATATCTCTGGCACCGCCACTGAGCCTGCAACCCCGTTTTGAAGAAATGTGCAGTGCAAAACAGGCTCATTGCAGCCACCTGTGATAAGACACACTTTTTTGCCAAATATCAGCATTTTCTTTGCAAAGTGGCAAAGTATTATAACTTATAGTTCTAGCAAAGGGATTGCACAATTGTATTATGTATTGTTTTTTGAGCACACATACTTATGGAGCATTGTTTTATTATCACTGTTCTAGCAAAGTGATTTTTTAAATTTTTTTGAAAGGAATTCTTTCACACACACACGGGTTTTGGGCCGAGGGCGACACCGTACTTCCGGTATCAACCATTTCACGCGAGGTGCATACTGAATATCATAGTCGATTGCCTTAATCAATATAGTCAACTCTAAAATACCACATATATGCATTGGCATGATAATATTATTGTGACAAGTGGGGTATTCACCTGGTGTTTCCAGAAGATAGACGTAGATGCAGCCAAAATCGACCGAAGGCCACTTTTGAGGGTCGTAATTCCATACATTGTACATCCAACAACTCACACAGCTCTAGTTTACGCTGGTAACGACCTAGAGCACACCCCTCAAGTCCAGAGATGTAATCCGAAGACATGCAGCGATTTCTTCGGTCGTTAATTCAGAAAAAAAACCTAGTGCGCTCTGCCTGGCTACATAAGCTAGCTGTTCATATTAGCATTCCCAGGATTTTTGCACCTCCAGAAAAATGGCGTCTTTATAAAAAATATATGGCGCGCGTTGCATTGTGGGTAGCTGTGACGTCACTGTGTGTGAAAGAATGCTCACGTTCACTGGCGGCACATATCAGACCCGGGCCGGGGGGCGGGGCCACATGACCGGGCCCTTTCAACCCAATAAAGCTTGACAAAAATATCGGGAGTCCGGGGTGGTAATCTGACGCTCGTGCGTAAAAAGTCGCTCAGTCAGTAAGATTACAATTTAAAACAATGTTTGAAAGAAAAGTAACTAAAGAAAAGGTGTAATATTTAAGATTTCGTTTCTACAAAGGGTATAGAAACGAAATATAAATATATATCAGAGATAATAATGATATAAGATGACATAAAGTCCAACAAACCACAAGGACAACGAAAACATAGCCTAATAAAATGATTTTCTGACACACCATTCACCATGGACAGCCAGCAGCCACCATGAGAGCAGAGCAGTGTAAAATTGGCACGGCGGCCCATACGTTCACGTACAAGTAGGCTACTGTACAAATTAAATTTGAAGTGTACTCACCACTACTTGAAGGGTACTCGGCGAGCCTTGCGCTCCGCGAACTCGTCCACAATCCGCTGTATGTCCAATTTCTTGGCTCGGTCACTTTCGATGGACAGCAAGGCCAGTCCACTCAGTCTCTCCTGTCCCATCGTGCTCCTCAAATAGTTTTTGATGAGTTTTAATTTGGAGAAAGAGCGCTCGGCGGTTGCCACGGTGACAGGAAGAGTCAGAAATAAGATGAAGGCTGTGCAAACCTCACTGAATGTAGATGTTATTGCTGGGTTGTAAACAATGAGCATTTTTACCAGATCCGCGACAGATTTTAGTTTTTGTATTTTGTCCCTGAAACAGGTTCTGAAAGAAAGCAGCTGGCCAGGGAAGCTGGCGGCGATGTCCCGACTGTAGTGCTCTCTAAGCCGCTGGGCAGCTTGGTGTAAATCCTCATCCTTTGCTTGCAGTAGTGTGTTGGGGTGAATTGCCTCAAACATGTTCACAGTTGCATTTAAGCTGGTGAATCTTTGGGACAGTTGCTGGATGATTATATCGAGACATGCATTGAAAACGGTCACCCGAAAGTTGCTCTCTGAGTGAGGCGGCTGTCTTCAGAAAGTTCATCAAAGTGTCTCTTAACTTTCCTGGCCCTGGTTGTTTCAAACTGTGTTTGACTTCCCCATTTAGTAGCCAGGGCAAGAGTGGCGGACTTCGCCTCATCAAATTGTCCCCGATACTCCACCAAAACACTGATGGAATTTTGCAGTAGAGTAGATGCTTTGAGAATATCCGCGTCTTTTGCTTGCAGTAACTGTGAAGCACAATATGCTTTCCAAAATCTTGGTCTGCATGTTGACCAAAAATAGAAAGCGAAATTTGCTTATGGCATTCTTGAGTGCACTTGCTTCATTGCGCTCATCCTTTTTGTCACTGGTAAGGGATATTTTGACGAGGGCTTTTATAATGTCTCCATATCTGTGCCTTAACGCAACAAGCGCATCATGGCGAGATGACCAGCGAGTGGGACATAAGCGTTTTAATGTGATCTGCTCTCTGGCGTCATTAACTCACTGAGCAATGCCCATCGTTTGATACTGTGACCAAAAAAGTTGTAGAGCGTCTACAGTGTCATAGAACTGCTTCACTCCAGGGCCATTTTTAACAGAGTCGTTGAGTGCTATGTTGAGATTATGAGCAGCGCAATGAACATAGTGAGCAAGGGGCTCCTTCTCGGCTATTCTTGCTTGCACGCCTGAATACACACCACTCATATTAGCCGCCCCATCATAGCCCTGTCCGCGACATTTAGACAGATCTAATCCGTTTTTCTCTATAGAACCAAGGATTTTGTTTTCAAGCTCTGAAGCTGATGAACCTTCAGTCACTTCAAAACCCCAAAAGACTTAATTGATCTGTATATCTGTTGCAATATCCATGTCGTTCTTAACAACAGTGATGTAACGGTAAACCTGACTCAACTGGTCTATCTTTGACACATCTTGCGTTGTGTCCATGATGACGGAATAAAATGGGGCTTCGTTTATTTCATCAATGATGTCAGCTTTCACATGTTGAGATAATATGTAAATAATCTCATCTTGAATCTGGTGACTGAGGTATTTCACTGACCCTTCTGGTCGGTTGATTAGCTCTTTCAAAACAGGGTCGTAGCTAGCCAATAATTATATTATTGACAAAAAGTTGCCAGCTTTTCCCTGACCTAGAACCTCTCGATGGCCCCTGAATGCCAAGTTGCTTGAAGCTAGAGTGAGAGTTACATTAACAATGCGCTCCACGACCTGTCTCCAAAATTGGGCGGAATTACGCACATTTCTCTCCATGTCAGCGTCTATTGTGCCGTTGGTTTTCCACTGCTCATATACTACGCATGCACCAAGGTGTATTTGAGTGGATTCATGCCTCTCAATTTTAGTAGAAAGATGTTTCCAGTCTTTTATTCCGTTTACCCATGCATTGTTGTAGAACAGTGCCTTTCGGTTGGCAAAAAGCCAGCAAGGCTCACAGTAGCAGCAGTCACATTTTGGGGAATAGCACATCCAGCTGCGTGGAGATGTCATCCCAACTTTAGTGGTGGAGGTGTAATAGCTTTCTGAAAAGCAACGGTTATCCTTGTCTTTGGGAAATGGACCTTTGGGTTTGCATGGGCCCATTTTAAGGATATATCTTTTGATATTGGCGTCCTCAATGTTTTCAAAATAGTTTGCCCGATCAGTCGGAAAACGCTCCAGAGGATAATTGCAGGACACATCATGATCCGTGGTCTGAGTTTCACCCGTAGGCGTAGCGTGAGGAGGAGACCTGTTGCTGCTTTCATTCCCAGTGTCCGGTACTTCTTCACCTTGCGGCGCAGCAGGTAAGGAGCCGGAGGGGGAGGGGTGCGGCTGGTCAAGCGTCAGGCCTGGCTCTCCTCTAGACGAGCAGCTAGCAGCTGCTGAGTCGTCCCTATTATCATCATCACTACAGCCGAGAGACAGAAAAGGAAATAAGCTAGGCGGCCGAGCTACACGAAGTAACAACAACCATATGATATCAACATTTACCACAAACTCACATTTTCTTGTTGACAGTGTGTGTCCGTGATTGTAGCCTACCTGTAAATCTGGCTAACCCCCACTAACGTTGTTGGCGGGCTGGGGCTCGGGGATGAAACACGGCTGGCAGTGGCAACAACTTCAGGTTCATCTCCCGCAGGAGGAGGAGTAGGGCGAAAGAAATATCCATCTAGCTTGGACAATTTGACCTTTTGGTCCTCCTTTTTATCTTTTTCTTTGCGTTTTGTAGCTCCACTTTTGTGTTTATAACTGCTCATGCTTAGGCAGTGCTCTGTTGAATGACAAGTGATTGATGATGACGTTCATTTACGTATTATGTTGATGGACGGCTGTTGATGACGATTTTACCCAAAATACATTTGGAGACAATAGAAGGGTATCACTTGCAATTTTTCATGTTTTAATGTTAAATATGAGTGTGAAAATAGCAGCACAAGTTCAACTCATATTATAGGCTACAATGCTTTATACCTAATATGACCACGAACGTCAGTGCACTCAGTGGCGCGAGGCAGCAGGGCCCGCCGGCGAATATCTCGGGGGCGGAGCCTGCTGCCTCGGCGACGGGCCCCCATTGGGTCCCGACCGTCCCGGGCCCGGGGAGCCCTGCCCCTACAGCCCCCCCTGAAGCCCCGCCCCTGCTCACGTTCATATTGATGTATTTTAATAAATGTTAACTTGGTGACTATTTGTGTTGGGGGGGGCCCCGAATTATTATTTTTTCCAAAGGGGGGGCCTGACAGAAAAAGTTTGAGAACTACTGGTCTAAATTGAATTCAACTCATTGAAGGAACACCATCGTGTGCGTGACTCCTGCATATGGTCTTTCAAGTTTCTGGTTGAGAATGCTATTCTCCTCTTCCAATTAAAGAGACAGGGTCTATATTTCGCCTCTCTACAGCTGCAGGAAGCATGCGTATCACTTTAAAGCCTCATGACAGTTTGTGGAGGGGAACGTGGGCTGTGTGTGAGTCGGTGCTGTTCGGGGCTTTAGCATTCTTATACCCCGCTGTCGACCTTTGAATCTCGGTGCCCGGTAGGTAGGCAGCTCCGCCGTCCACGGTCCCAATTGGCTGAGCTCTTTTCCGCTGCACACAGCTGCTTCCTGCTGCATGTGGTAGCCCAAACAGTGTACACACACAGACGTACACTGTGTTTTTCTACACGCACTATGAGAATGTGCACGATGTTGCTCGAGCCCAAAGTCCCTCAGTGAGTGGCGCGGTCTCTTATCGTTATGTTAGAAGATTAACGAGGTTATCGGTGTCCTGTAAAACACGTACTGCCAGCTGTCAGCCGGGAAGCGGACAGAGGAGGCGGACCGACGAGGAGAAAGGAAGCTCCCGCTGTAGCTGCATCGGACAACGGCATAGCACGGAGCCATGGCCGAGAAGCGGATGTCACGGTGGTACTTTGGTGGGCTGGCGTCCTGCGGGGCCGCCTGCTGCACGCATCCTCTGGATCTACTGAAGGTAACCCTCCGCTGCTGTGTGCTGGATAGCAGGCCTGAACACCAGCTGTTTGCAAATCCTGCGACACTGCTTTACAGACTACTACTGGGTTAATTTACAGTTATTCAACTCCTGACGATTATCATATTACTGTGTGCGTGCTACTGCTGAATTAGCTTCTGGTGACATACTCTGAGGGATCACATATCTCTGCTATGGCATCAATGTCCATCACACCGTGCAAGTCTGCTCAAATATAGGGCACAGGTTAGGACCAGTGGTTAGCCTAAATGACCTTAAGTGCTATTAATGTAGCAAAGATAATATAAAGCAATGTTTAGATTCATTTTAAAGTAATCATAATGGCCCAATGTAGTCTAGATTTAAGATAAATATCAGGGCAGTTTCTGAACAAAAACATAATAGTCGACTAACACTCCACAATTGTACATCTCGACGGAGATATACATCTAAGTTCCTCCACAAAAATCTGCTAAAGCACAACTTTAAATATTGTGTTTACCAGAAATGTGCTCATAAGTTTCTTGGAAATAAGTCATTCAGCAGTAAAAAAAAAGGCGACCAAAACGACCAATTGGTTGATATTTCTACTAATTTATATAATATGGTACTTGTAAAGTGTGTGTGTTTTCTCTTGGGGTCATGCATGTTCACTCTTGTTAATCGTTGGCTTGCTGTGCTGCACATGAGTAAGCCAGATTCTCGTTTGCTTATGCCAACATTCTTCCCGCTTTACTGCGCCTCTCCTTTGGTTGTACTGCAGTCTGCCCCACATGACCCTGATTCCCTGAGGATACTAACTGCTCCTCAGGCAGTTGTGTAATTATGTCTGAATTCCCTCGAAGGTGCTTCAAAACGGCCTAACTTCCTTGTTATCTGGTGATGCCAGATGCACTTAAGGTAGAATTATCCCAGGAATACATTTTTCTGTTGGGTTCTGAAAACAGTCTTATCGTGTTGGATCTGGCATGTTTTTCTCGCATCTGAATTTCACCAAAACGTTTTACAAACAATGAAAAAGAAATTCAATAAGAGAGGATAGAATTATGAATGTTAAGGATATTAATTTCCCCCAATTTCAAGTAATTTCAAATGTTAAATCTTACAATAATTGAGGCTAACAAAAATACCTAATAACCAACACAGTTAGTGAAACCTGTTCCCACCAGTTTAGACATTCTCCAGTGTGACACAAGGCTTTTTATTAGGACTAAATTGCCAGATTTAGTGCACATGATCTGGGTCAAAAGGTGGGATGCACATAACTTTTGTGTGTTTTTTAAAGGTGACATGTCATGCTTTTCCGGTTATTACCCGTCCCCTTGTGTGTTATAAAGGTTTTTATGCATGTAAATGGTGTGCAGAGTCAAAACCCTCAAAGTACACCATGTAGCGAGTAAACTCTAACACAGAAAATACCTCCCCAAAACGCCTCGTTGGTGATACGTCACTGTCCATTTGATTCTTCCGGGTACATCATGATGTCATGTCGTCCCCGGAACGAAATGGACCAATCCGTGGAGATGCTGTATGCGAATCCAATGTGAGTTTGGAAAATTGCACAGTATAAATCTATTCTAGTAGACCTCAACAATGGAATTATGATCAGTGGAAATGGCCATGACATGGGACCTTTAAGTAAGACTTTAGAGTGTGGACTCTTCAATAATCTATAAAACCACAACAACTCTTTTAGAGAACTTTTCATACATATTTGTGTTGTTAGCAGCTTTGGGATCTTGATTCTTTAAGTCTGGTTCTGTTGAAAGGCTTCTACCCTTGTTTACCGAACAGTTAAAGTAGCAACCTTGAGGATATTTAAGAACACATTTTTACTTTCACAGTTCATGAATCACAGTCATTAAAATAAAATGTGCCAGCTTCTCTGTCAGCAGAGGCAGATGGTGACTATTTGGAAACAGTTTACAAAAAGTGTCTTCATAATGCTGTACAGTTACCAAATTCCTGTTAAAGCTTGCAGAATGGCATCTAAATTTAGAAAGCCTAAAATGTACTTTAGAGGGAATAATTATGTTAGTGTGTTTTACAGCAGGGAAGTAGGGCTTTACCAAACACACACATCCCATGGCAAAGATTGCTTAGTCATGGTGCAGAGATTAGTTTGTCAGTGTTAACTAAGATATCCATTACACTCCAAGACAGGCTGGCCTATTGTTTTTGTCCTCGACCGGATTAGTTTGACCTCAACTAAAAAGTCAATCTTTCAGCAAGACACTTATCAACTTATCTGGGTGTAATATTTCACCACTGTGCACGCGTGTTCCTCTACACATTCACCTGCTGATGGCTTAATGCGTTTGCACAACATAATGTGGCTCCTTTTAATCAGAGCTTTAAAGATAATACCAAAGTTTTCTACTCAATGTGTCTAATAATAAATGATATTTATATAGCGCCTTTCAAGGGACCCAAGGTCGCTGTACATGGTGGACAAACAAAACAAACAGACAATCAAAGGGCAAACAAAAAATAGAGGAAGCCGGGGGACCAAGAAAGGGCTAGGGCCCGAAGGCCAGGGTGAACAGGTGTGTTTTTAATGATGATTTGAAGATGTCCAGGGAGGCAGCATTACGGATCTCGGCAGGAAGTGCATTCCAGAGGGTGGGGGCCGCAACACTGAACGCCCTGTCACCAACAGTTCGGAGGCGAGAGCGGGGGATGGAGAGCAGACCCGTGTCTGAGGACCGCAGACTCCGAGAAGGGGTGTAGGGATGGAGGAGGTCCGATAAGTACTGGGGGGCAAGGGTATGGAGGGACTTGTACGTGAGGATGAGTGTTTTGTATTGAATCCGGGACTTGACCGGCAGCCAGTGTCTAGATTAAATTCCCTGAAGTTATGTAGTATAGTATTTGTTTCCAGTGAAACCTTGCCCATAAAAGATTGTGCCCCTATTATCAAAGAGAATTGTCTTTTTGTCAGTCCACCAGTTTGAACCAGATTTGAGTATCTCATTAACTTTTGGTTTTGATTGATTGTTCTCCTGAGGAAGCCTTCTGACTTTGTTAAGGATACTTTTAAGTTTGAAAGCGTCATTCATAAGGTCTGAACAGATACATATGATGCTACACTCGTATTTTTAGTATTTTACTTTATATATTTGTAGAATTATAATCTAAAACAAACTTGCGCATCAATACAGATTTGTTGGAATATATATATTTAAAGGTTAGTGATGAGACAGTAAGACATTGATTTTTGAAGAGCTTAGTGGCCTTCAAACCCAAATACTGATTAGAACAGAGGACAAAGCTCACGTTATAGAGCTGTGAAGGCCTCTGACAAAGACCACACACACACACACACACACACACACACACACACACACACACACACACACACACACACACACACACACACACACACACACACACACGACTTGTGAATTGGTCATAACTGCCTGTGTGACATTACACTGTGGTCAGTTTTACTTAGCCTGAGAAATTAATTTAGTGTGTGAAGCATTTTCAAATCTGAGAAACAACTATTCACAGTGATGTCCCCAAAGGTCAAATATTTGTAACTGTAAGCCTGCATTACAAAATGGAAGTGTGAAGTCTGAAGACACGTGTGTTTACCAGACAGCAAAGGGTCTAATTAGGGAGCCTGTGGCTCAGTGGAATTGTGCGCTGAATTTAGTGCACTGAACTTTGAATCACGGGATAGCAAGTTCGAGTCCCACTGCAGTCAGCATGTCGTTGTGTCCCTGGGCAAGACACTTCACCCCAGATTGCTCCTGTGGGGATTGTCCACAGTACTGAATGTATGTAAGTCACTTTGGATCAAAGCGTCTAACAAGTGACATGTAATGTAATGTAATTAAAAAGGCTTGTGAGTTGTATTATGGGATGTCTAGGATCCAGTGAAGAGCTGAACTACCCCTTTAAGAGCTGACACATGTAGCCCTTTGACACAATTAGTTTACCAAATATATCTGAAGTGGTGTCATAAATTACCCCCAAAAACTGATGTTGCTCTGTCTCATGTTTATAGATTTGTTTTCTGTGTTCAACGGTTTCTTTATTATTTATGTCACCACAGTGCCAAATTGGTATTAAAATAACTCCAAGGAAAATGCATGACTGTCTTTCCAGGTACACCTGCAGACACAGCAGGAGGTGAAGAAGAGGATGATGGGGATGGCCATTCATGTGGTGAAGAGTGACGGTGTGCTGGCTCTTTACAGTGGCCTCTCTGCCTCCCTTTGCAGACAGGTATGTCTGTTTGCATGCCTTATGTTTGTCTGCCTCTGCCTGTGTGTTGACCATAGACTGTATACATAAATGGACGTAGTGTCTGTGACGTCACCCATAGGATTCTGCAGAGTTGCCGTGAAGCCCTTAGTAGGCGGAGTCGGCCACTAACGGCTCGACTGTGACGTCAGAGTCTAATCCCGCCTGCTCCAAATAAGGACAAAGAGGCGGAGCCGAGGCGGGACCTGCTGCCTCCGAACTGGAAGTAAACAGAGCTAGCTCAGGCTAAGAAGCTAAGCTAACATGAAATACATGCATACCAAGTTACTGCTAGCAGTGTAGTTCCCCTATATAAACGTTACATTCATAATCAAATGAGACAATCTGCAAGAGAATTAGCTATATTTTGTTATTCTTAATGCTTGTCATTCACACGTTGAGAAAAAACGGACTCCACCGCCCGGACCTAACCGTTAGCTCCGGCGGCCACCACTGGGATAATTGGGTCCCCTATTAACATTTGCTCCCGTTTAGCATTATGGGCGTCATAGCCATAGACTATAAAAGTCTTACCCAAGGCTGAATCATAAACTAAAATGTATATGTATGCATAAAGGGTTACGTCCTTAGCTGGCTAATAAGTAACAAGCTAAGCTACCAAGCACACAAACACCTGCGAACGGGGTTAACATGTATAATATTATCATTTTAGACTTCTTGGAAGTTCTGTTAGTACATTCAAGCGCACAGCACGACATTTTAATTGTCTGGTATTTGTAACAATATTCCCTAAAAGGCACAATCACCACGAACACGGCTAAAGCTAAAGGGTCAAGTACAGTACTATGACTAACTAACGTTGTAGCCTCTATGGTTGTAGCCTAGCAGAGTGGACAAGCAGTGTTGCCAACTCCATAGTAAGGAAAGTAGCTATTGGCTGTCCGAAAAGTCGCCAGAAGTCGCTAAATGACGTCATCGCCTAATTTGCATATCATGTAATGGCGGCTGTAGGAGAGAGCATGGTAGAGGGGAGTACAAAAAACGAGTTAAATCCAGACGACAGTAGATCAGAAATGTCTCTATTCTGCAAGGTAAAATTACTTTGTTGCTTCCCCTTTATTATAGTGTGAAAGTGAGTGAAGAACATTTAAATCCCGCTCAAAACCAGGACGGCTTGGCAGTTGGCGCATGCGCAATTCATTTGCAGTCTCGACGCGGGGGAGTGTGGTTGTCTCCTCTCTGCTCTGACTGCAGCAGCAGCTCTGCTGCGGCCAGGCAACTGTCAGTCTGAGCGCCTGTGAGTACTATGGGAGGGAGGCGGGGCTCACGGCAGCACCCGCGGCTCGTTAACTGCAGAACAATGTGAGTCTCCAAACACCAGAAAAGTCGCTAATAACACCATTATAAATCGCTAGATTAGTCGTTAGTCGCTTTTGACACAAATAAGTCGCCGGAGGGTTTGGAAATCCGCCAAATTTAACGAGAAAATCGCCAAGTTGGCAACACTGTGGACAAGTTGCTGTTAGCTGACAGTGAGGCATGTACGTGTCCATCAAAGTGACCACGCCCTAATTTATGCAAAAACGTTAAGACCTAATATAAATAAAAGGGTTGTGTTAGAAAACAATTCACTCACAGATTCATAATCATGAAGGTGGAATCTAACTATATCGATAATAATATTTATTGCATCCATGGGTAGAAACATGTTTTTTTCTGCTGTAAAGTTGGGCATTTTAACATGGGGGTCTATGGAAATTGATCCTTTCTGCAGCCAGTTCCTAGCGGCCCATGTATGAACTGCAGTGTGTGGCACTTCCGTATTGGCGTCCCGGCTGTTCCCCAGAGTTTGCCGCTTGGTGTTGACATGTTTGTGATTTGTATGGCTTTTCACCTAAATCTAACTCGGTAAGTGTCACAGAGGGTGGTAACCTCTTTTGTGAGCCAGCCTTTACTAAGATGGTATCAATAAAGAGTTACAGACAAAACAATTTTAAACCACACTAATGATAAAATAAGGCTGTTGGTTGGCAAAGGCAAAACACAGTAAAGATGGAGTCAACCACCAAAGTTTCAGACCAAGATTTGTCGTTTCGATATTTTCATCTTTTGTTTTTCTGACTGAAATTTGAGTAAATTCATGTATTGTATTCATGGTTTTGGTTGCAGTGAGAGAGTTTGAATGAGGACATAGGAACTGGTAACTTTTCTCGAAGCGGTGCTTTATAATAAGATTTGAATACATTCATATTCATGCTGCCTCAGTGTGATTGCTAATAAAAAGGTGGAAATATTGACGTGTGAAAAATCCATTCTAACGTGACCAAAAGTTAGTTTTGGTTACTTTTTTAGAAACGTTTGAATCACAGCCAGAAAATTTAATTGGTTGTGTTGCCAAAGGGTCCTCCTTGTGGTTAGAAAAAGAATATTCAAAATGGTGAAAAAAGTGTGAGATACTCATTATTCTTTCCTTTCCTCTCCTCTCAGATGTCCTATTCGCTCACCAGATTCGCCATCTATGAGACAGTGAGGGACATGATGGGCAGCACAAGCCAGGGCCCCATGCCCTTTTACCAGAAGGTCCTGCTGGGAGCCTTCGGAGGTAGAAAACATACATTCTGCCTCCCTTCTCCTCCTTTTTACACACACTCTCAAACATACACTCACACACGTGCAGTATAACCAGGGCTGCACATAACTGGTGCGCATGCGCACCTCGGCCAAAAAAAGAGCACCAGGTCATTTGAAAAAAGGCGCATTTGCGTACCAACATAGAGAGAGAGAGAGAGAGAGAGAAAAAAAGAAAAAAAAAAAGAAAGATATTTGCGAGTTGCATATGAACTCAGGGCCGGCCCGTCGCACTGGCGTTATAGATGTTCGCCTAGGGCGCCAGATCTGTGGAGGCGCTGCGCTGGCAGTTCTGGGAGGGAAAAAAACATTTTTGACCGTTGGGGCTCATCCTAATTTTCGGCCTTGATGTAACAACATTCATAATTAAGTAAATGTAACACCCTTTTCACCCCGGTTACACGTTTCATTCGCCCTGTACGATGGGCGCTGTAAGTGATGGAAATGGGGGATGTTGGCTTATCTGGCGCCCGCAGCTCACAGCCAAAATGCGAGTGAGCGAGGGAGGGTGCACCGGTACCGGCGCAGTTGTTATTATAATCTGGTGCTAGCTGCGGATATAAGAAGAAGATGTTTCTACAATAATGTGGAGGGAGAGTCCTCTCCAGTCAGACTGAGAGGCTGATACTACAGCTCAGTGAGGTAAATGACTCTGAGTGTTTAGATAGTTCACTTTAGTCTAAGTTCAAACGGTTTGGTCACAATTTATATAAACACATATTTTCAAGGCACTCCTTTATAATTATTGGGATAAACAGGTTTGAAATCATTCCAATGTATACTATAGGACAGTAACCAAACATATCCTTTTGAAACTGGACTTTTGACCCAAACCTAGCTGCTGACTTGTGGATGCAAGCAGCTAATCGCAGACTCAACCAGAGAGAAAGAAGTAGGCCTACATCATCAGCTACCATGTCTGACAGAGAGAAAGACAGTGAGGAGAACAGTCAGGAGGGCAGTGATGACAGCTTGTAGGATTACTGGTCGTGCTAATGTTGTCTTGTGTTCGCCTCTGCATGTGTGTTCTGTGTTCACCTCTGCATGTGTGTTCAGTGCCGTGTGTCTGGCAAATAAAGACCGGTTTATTTATTTAATTTTAAGGATAAGCACCAAGCAACATCTCCAGGTGCTCCTTTGAGAACCAGGGCAAAAAAGTTATGTGCACCCCTGAGTATAACCCATACCGGATTGTGTTCTCTGCCAACAGGTTTCACTGGAGGATTTGTTGGCACGCCGGCAGACATGGTGAATGTCAGGTAACATTACATTACCATTCAATCAATGATTTAAATACCGAAGATTTAAATGCTTAAAAGGAACATTTGCCAACTTTCAATGATAATGTCCAATCAGTGTTGATGGTAAATGTAGTCGATTTGTAGTTATACAATTTAGTGTACTTTATTTAATGAGAAAGGAATGCTGCTGCCAGAACAGTTTTTCTTCCGGCTGCCAGCTCTCTCATTTGACATAGTTGGATGAATCACAGGCCAATTTATCTTGAATTTGTATGATCCACTTCTGGGTTGCTAGGAAGTGTGTATGCTCTTTCAGCTCAAACACAGAACTTCCTAAACCTGTTCCATTGTGCAAACATAACAAAAACTAAATGCAACTCTCTTTGCTTGTATTACAAAAGTTCAAACTGAAATGGCATCCAGAGTGCAGATCACGTTCTGGACGAGAATACCGTTAACTGCTGTTTGGCTGACTTGTTTTTATTCAAAGTATACAGCTGAAGCAAATGCAGATGCTATCATGTGGATAACTTTCTCGGTCAATGTACTTCACTTTAGCTGTCTCAATGTACCACTCACACTGGTTGGACATTCTCAACCATCTAACATATGCATTTTTTTTCCTGTAACAAAACTACAATGACTTTTTTTTAATACAGGATGCAGAATGACATGAAACTACCACCAGAGCTGAGGAGGAAGTGAGTGTTACTATAGATAAAAAAAGTTTAGATTATCTAAATCTCTTATTGTATTTAAACCTGAATGTTTTCCTTCTTTCAGCTACAAACATGCCATCGATGGGCTCTTCAGAGTCTTCAGAGAAGGTGAATCCTCGAGCAATAAAGTGTGTGTAACTTTGTATAAAGCAATCTGCGGGATCATGTCTGACCTCTGACTTGTGTCTGGCCCCACAGAGGGTCTCAGGAGACTGTACTCAGGAGCCAGCATGGCCTCCAGCAGAGGAGCAATGGTCACTGTGGGACAGGCAAGTCACACATATGAAATACGGTTAAATTGCCTGCAGGTATTAACGAGACCAGAGTATTTTCCGGCCAGTGACGAGCAACTGTCTGTTTTTTTTTTATCACAATTAAGATAAAAGTTTTCTCGTAAATACACTAAGAAGGCAATTGATGACCATGTTAAAGGTGGGGTAGGTAAGTTTGAGAAACCGGCTCGAGATACACTTTTTGTTATAGTCCATGGAATGCTCTTAACATCCCGATAGCAATGAATATCTGAAGTGCTTTGACAAAAAATCCATGAACAAATGTCATCTGTGGAATCTGTAGCACTGTAAAAAGCACGACCAATCATTTTAGCCGGCCCGGCATGCAAAAACAAAAAGTGCACAGTTGTAACATTACATTTGTTTGCTTAAGAAGTAAAATATTGAATATTTGAACCAGGCACATCACAAAGTGCATTTAACTGAATACAATAATAGCACATCAAAAAGTGCATTAACAAACAGTTAATGAGCTCCAATGTAACAAAAAGAGGTAGTACTATAACAATACTATTTTTTCAAGTAATAACAAGAAAATCATACGTTTTGGTCACATTTGACCCAGACACATTACAAAGTGCATTTAAATGAATACAAAAAGAACTGTCAAACCCTTTAGTGCACAAACCCATAACAAGGGATAAGGGTAACTAACATATGAATGAATACTACACCACACGTCTACTATTAGATTAGATTATAATCTTTAATGACCACACAGCCAGGCTGGTGGAATTCGTGTTCAGTGCAGATTATTACAGCTTGTTCCATACAATTCAACATACAATAAACAGACAATAAAAAGTACAACACACGGCACAGGGCAAATACATACATCATGACATATATACATAAAGTTCAAGGTGTGATTGTTCATTGGGGTTATTTAGAGTCCATTTAGTGTCCGTATTGCAAAGGGGAAGAAGCTGTTTTTGAAGCGGGCAGTTTTGGTGGACAGTGACCTGTAGCGCCTCCCTGAGGGCAGCAAACTAGGTGCTATCACCTCATTTGTGATTTGCCATCGCTGACTTTCTCAATGGGAGAAGTGAGCAGTGATTTTTGGCTCATAGGATGTCAATGCAATCCTAAGACATTGGTGAAGAGTGCTGTCAGTCAGGGAGCAGCGAGTGGCACTTTTCTTTTAGTTCATGTGTGAAAAGCTTGATTCACATGTAAGATCCAAACATACTGAGCACACAGATCGCTACTCTCTGAGCGTTAGGGAACTGCTGTTTGTTGACGTCACTCCAAAACTTCACATGGTGAGAACTCTGTTGTTTTTTAGTGCTGTGGATAATGTTCAAATGATTCTCGCAGTACTCTGGGGTTGTGAAGGGTGGATGAGTCTTTGTTAGTTATCATGACATGTGATTTTCCCACAGATTATTTAATTCAGTCTCAGAGGTGACCTCATGCTTTATATTGTGTGGCTCATTGTAATTATTTGGAAGTGGAGCTGTAGTGAGCATTAGCGATGTGGCTTCAGTTAGCTTCAGGTAGTAAAGAGATGCATCATTAAAATGGCACCATTTCTTTTTTCCTACCTTCAGTTGGCGTGTTATGACCAGGCCAAGCAGCTGGTGCTGGGCACAGGCATGATGGGGGATAACATACTCACACACTTTCTCTCCAGCTTCATCGCTGTGAGTATCAGGTTCATTCTTGTGTTATGTGGCTCAGTGTAAAGTTTACAGGACTCTTTAAACTAATGGTAAGTTTCCCCGCAGGGAGGCTGTGCTACATTGTTGTGTCAGCCTCTGGACGTACTAAAGACGAGGCTCATGAGCTCGAAGGGCGAGTACACAGTAAGTGGACCCCCCCCTCTCACCCTTCATCACTGTCTCCTCTAATCCCTTCCTTCCTCTGTTTCTCTTTGTCCATCTCCCTTCATTCCTCAGCTTTATTCTCATCCAGTGTGTCTCTCTCTTTAGGGGGTGAGGCATTGCTTACAAGAAACTGCCAAGCTTGGTCCCATGGCATTTTACAAGGTAAGACAACAGTACTACACAATATAAGAACACAACACAATATAAGAACACAACACTGTACCTGCAATTATCAAATGTGGATGCCTTTGTCAAGCTCAACACCCATCATGCCTGTTACTGCATGTGTGCTATGTTTTTGGTGCAACTTTGTTTACATTGTCTCACAATATAACACGTATACACACTTTAATGCGTGAGGCAGCATTTTTGATGCAGCTCCAAATGACTTTATTCTTACTTTAAACAAAAAGTAATGTCATCCCCTCTTTCCCCCCATTCTAATACTGTCCCTACATTAAAGGCTCTGGTTACTCAAAATCGTTAAAAAACAGACACAAATCAAAAAATCCCATAAATATGATTATGATGGCCAAAGCTGCACTTGATATTAAAAGCATACTACCTACATGTTAAATGTGAGATACATTTCCTCCATTTACATTAGAGGGCAGTTTTTTGACTACAGGAAAAAGTTGTGTATACTTTGTTTGACAAAATTGAATTTTGGAAATGATAACATCGATTTTATTTACAGATACAGATTTACAAAAAAAATACAATGGGGTATCTGAAATGGATAAATGTAAAGGGAGAAAACTACAAATAGTAATATATTGCTGATTTTTGTTGCAGGGTCTCGTCCCCGCAGGAATCCGCTTGATTCCTCACACAGTGCTCACCTTCATCTTCCTCGAGCAGCTCAAGCAAAACTTCGGCATCCGCATCATCTCCTGAGCACGCTCTGCGACCCTGAACCCCAAACTGCCACATCACCCCCCCCCCCGCTTTACTCTTGGCATTTTAGATTTTAGGCAAAAAAAGGGAGAACGGGAGTGGTGCACAGTTTATTTAATGGGCTGGTGCATGGTCCCCTTCTCTTTTTGCTCTACCTCTATCTCACGACTGATAATGATGTTGATTTTTACGAGCACCAACTTCTAGAAGATACAATTACAAGAACTAACGGTTTCCTCTATCAGCATAGATTATAACATTATATATGTTAAGAAAGAACACGCTTACTGTAAAAGTGCTTCACATTAGGGTTATTAGAGTGACCTGCCAAATTAGAATTAGCTCTAGCAGATGTTTAATTTCAGGTAGGGTTAGTTTGTGACGGGATTATATATAGTATAGTAATTGTTCATTTAAGAAGCAATTAATTTGTCAAGATGGACACTAAATGTTGACTTTTAACTATTTCCAGTTAAGATTTAGTGATTTATGTTTTAATTTCACCAGTTTCACCAGTGGTGTACAAAGCCTTCTGAGCTAACATAAGTGTAATCCACAGTTGTTGCTTAAAGAGTGCCAATAATGTGTCTCTCTAATACTTCATGAGTGTCAAGTTATCATATAGCAAAAGTCCAAAATGCTAACAAACTAGTGCCATTCTTTCAAATCTATAGTTCCCAGAAGCCATTGCTAAAACACGACTGAACTCTGTTGTATGTCATTACATAGTAATCATTCCCAACAGTGGTGACCAAATGAAATGCAACCTGAATTTAACAGTTCACTAAATTGATGTTTTATAACTGGAACTACTATCAGGTTAAAATATCCTCCACTTTTGACCCGATTCTCCTTTTCTTTATTCCTCTGTCATCGTTTCACTCCCATATGTTTTGGAGAAGAGGACCAAGCTTGTTTGTCTCGTGTTTTTAAGTAAGTTGGGCGTGAGTGGGAGAAACTGTGAAGCAGAAAGAGCAGGCTGGTAAAATCCTGGGGAAGGGCGCTCTTTCTTCCCTGACCCAGTGAAATACTGTACAACCACTTGATCTCTTAAAAAGTTCTTACTGTTTGAATAGAGATGTCTGGAGAAGACCGCTGGACTGTAGAAGTGTATATGTAGCATTTCCATCCGTTATGTTACTGTTTCGTTGAGCTGAATGCCTGTCAGACTCTGACTCACGATGCTACTGTTTTATAAGGCACTTTATTAAAATCCCTGGACTTGTACTAACTACTGTGTAGAAACACTAGCTGCATACTATAACATGGTCTAAAAATAACATAATGTTTGGAATCTACAATGTTAATGCCAATCTGAACTATGACTTTTCTCAGTTATAGTACAATCATTTTGGCCTTTGCCTTTCCTGTGCTGTGCCTGCTGTGTTGACGGAGACCTCGTCGAGTCATGTTGCCTTACAGTTTGTCCTCCAGAGGGCAGTATAGGAACGTGCAAATGATATCATTGCCAACAACTTCAATGAATCCTGAAAAACCTTTAACCAAGGATGAGTATATAAAAAAAAAAGAGAACAACATCTGACTGCAATTCTGCAATAATGTGAGGTACTGATCAGCCATAGTAAGCAATGTTAACCCCAGCTTTGTTTATATGCACAGAAATGAAACTGGAGGGACCCTCAGCGCTGGGTGTTGTAAATGTTTATGTTGTAGACGACTAACCAATGATTTTGGAATTAAAATACTAATGGAAAATGTTTGTTTTGTATTTTTTCACCGTTTACCTTACAGAAGAATGTCAGGTAAAAACATTGATTTAGGTAGAAACCCAGATTGGATGTAATTCATGGTAGAGTTGTATTTGATAATGATTTTATTTTTCTAATTCCATAAAATCATGTCATTATCAAACAGGAATATCTCCGTGTAAATATTCTCTTGGCTCATAATGATTCGTGCAGGGAGTGTGAATCAAGCGTTATCTATATATAGACTTTTTTTTCTTCTTTTTCTCCCCAATTTTTTGGCGCCCCCCGCCTATACTGCCTATAGCAAGGGACGGCCCTGCTCGAGGTGATTTATAAACACACGCAAAAAAGAAACATATTTAAGAAATCTAGACCGCAAAAGAATTAAATAAGCGAGTGTCTGTTTATCCTGGCCAAGGTCAGGGTCCTTGAACACAACACGAGCCTAACGTGTCACCACCTTTATACAGTCTATGGCTGCTTCTCAGGTCGACTATTTTAATTTCCTCGCTCCTCGGTCCTCGGTCTCACCGGAAGTTGATTTGCCCGCGCCATCTTGAGTACCGTCCCATGGCTCTTATTTCTGCCGGAGGATCGAGGAGCGAGGAGCGATCATGGAGGAGCTTGATTGATTGATTGATTGAAAAGTTTATTAACAGCTTGTATATTGGGTACAGTACAGTACAGCTCAAAACATACAATTGTTAAGGGGATGCAGACCAGAGAAAGACTTTCGTCTTGTTTACATCAGGGTCCCCCATTTCCAATTCATCATGTCATTTAAGACATATAAGGCAAAGGCAAAGAGCGATAACCGAGGAACCACCAGACCATCCTCCGATGAAATCCTCAGATACTCACCCCGCCCCCTTACTGTGTATCGCTCACTGATTGGACGAGGCAGTGCATGCACTGATCTGATGCTTCTTGACATGAGAGCAGAGTGAAGAAAATACATGAACCTCACGGGAGTCACTCCTCAGTTTATACCGTGTTTTGTTTAAATTCATGTATCATTTAGTTACAAATATGTGATATATCTGAACAACAAAGTGGTCAAAAATCATTTAATTCATTTTTTGGAAACATTTTCATGATCGCTTTTTTCGTTTTACATTTTCATTTATTGTCATTTCCATTCAGTCAGTCATTAAGTGCTATTAAAATGTTAGTGTGCTACATATCCACACAAACACACAGTGTGCAATCCAATGAATTTTAATCTAACTGGGTTTTGATAGATAACATAACTCTTTTTCTTCTCTCAATTATTTTATTTCTATTGTGCACTCTAATCAATATTAATCAAACTATTGTTCGTTTATAAATTTTAAGAATGGCGTTTATCTTTTTTGACAATGAGTTCTTATTTTATTTTATTTATTTGGGTCTACAACAGATGATACAAATGTTTGTGTCAGTAAATGTGTACTAACAGAGGCGGGGGTGTTTGTGGAAATAACGGGGACAGAGCTGCTGTCAGACGATCAGCTGTGCAGCGTCATCACAAACGGACGTCGCTTCACGTGACGCTCCGGAGGAAAGGACGTCCCATTGCTCTTAAAACTGATTTCCCTGCTTCTCGTGGTTTCCTTGCGTCCCTCCATGCTTCCCTGGTGGGAGGGACTAAACGCAGGGAAACGACGCAAGTGAGGGAATCAAGGATTTCATTTAAAGGGATAGTGGAAATCCGCGAATTTTGGGTTTAACTTATGTATTTTTATTAAAAATAAGCATAATAAACCATTTTATTTTATTTCATGCGCCTAGTTTCATTTTATTTTCAATTTTACTGCGCCCTCTCAATGAAACGAAATACTTCGGGAATCGTCGGGAATCTTCGGGTGATGACGAGAGCATAGGAAGACGGGCACAAACAATGGCGGACATTCAATAGCATTTGCATGTGAATAGCCGACCTTTATTATGGTGAATAGATGTGTTTTGTATGGCTGTAGTGCGACAGCAAATGCAGAGAATGGCGTATCGACGCATGCGTTTCCAAGAAACCCAGCCATTCGTCGTCAGTGGGTGAAATTTGTTCAGATAACACGGGCAAACTTCACGGAGCCGAAGCTGACGAGTAATTCGGCAGTCGTGTGCTCCCGTCATTTTACTGACGATTGTTTCGAGAATATGATGATTGATTATCAGTAAACAATTCTACGTGACACAACGACATTGGATTAACCTTGAGATGCGTTTTTATTCCGTTGAACACAACTTTTGATCACAAATCAAAAAAGGTAAGACGTAATTATTGTAATATTTTTGGAACCGGATGTTGTTTACTTTCTCTTTTCTGGCTGATAGCTCCAGGAATTCGAGGTCGGACAGTGATGACTGTGAAGTAAAAACTTCTTTGCAGCAATGTTGAGCCAATCATCAAATGAGGGAAACTGGATTCGCCTGTCAATACACTGATATTTATTGAGAGACAAACGGCCGGAGAGATCACAGTATACTACAGTTCTCATGTAAGATACCAGCCAACTCTGAAGACAAAAGCGCCAAGAACCCATCTATATGTAAGAAGAGGAGGGCCCTAAAACACGCGGGTTTTCCTTTAATGCATGCCAGATGTCGAGACAAAGACTCGTTGTATTGCAAACCCACATGAGCCAAGCTTCTCCCCCCCACAAGACATCAGATGACCTCTTGACCTGTGTCTTCCTGAGAAGCTATGGATCACATTACAGGCAGGAATACACTTTAACCAATAGACAGATTCCCGAGGACAAGTCACTAAACTCTATATACTTTAACAAGACTAAAATATTCCTTTACAGATCCACCCTTTTATCAATTTATTATAATCAATTAACATTAGTCTAAAGAATATTTCAGTCAATACTTAAATCAATAAGCGTCTTCAGAGTTGTGTGGGCTCACTCACATTAATTACATCATAAGTAGAACAAGATTGAACACAGTCAACTATAATAGAAAAATCATCTCTCTTCAGTGTTTGGCATCTTTTTGTCAAAAGCACAATAATGAACACACATGAAATATAATAGCAGAATATATGTTTAAAAAATAAGACCTTTTATCATTTATCACTCAGTTAATCTCATTCATCAAACACAAATTCTAAATTAGCTTACATCTCAAAGATTTACTTCAAGGCAATTACTTATTAAAACACAATTAGAATTTAGGATTTATAATAAATCCAATTGAGGTATAAATCAGAATCATGAGATATCCAGCTAAGGTTCCTAGTTAAGGTATAAATTCACAGTGATGAATCGATCAATCTGTAATCAGATTAAACAGATAATCTGTAAAGTTACAGTGTCCTCAATCTTTAACATTACTTACGTTTACTTCATTACGCTTTATTCAAGAGTAAGGCATGATATTTAATTAATTACATTACTTCAACTATCAATCATGTCATTTCAAAATCTGAAGGGAAAACTAAACAATTCTCAAGATGTTTAACAATCTGAAAAGGAAAAAATCAAAATATCTGTTCTTTATTCAGAGTGTCAACTGTAATCAATATCAAAACATCTGTTCTTTATTCAGAGTATCAACTGTAATCAATATCAAAACATCTGTTCTTTATTCAGAGTATCAACTGTAATCAATATCAAAACATCTTGTTCAATACCTTATAAATCTGAAAATATCAATTAATTAATTAGTTTAGTGTGAAAGTGCAATCTGATCTGACAAAATATATTTATCACCACTATTTAACACATATCTGTTCATTGGGAATACAAAAACAATCATTAATTGTACATCTGTAATCATCTGGTCATTCAATTCAAATGTTATCTTTGTATCAGAGCTAGAAGAACATGTTTTCCTCCTCTCTTTATGACACAGAATGTCTGGTGTGTAAAGGCATCCTGATACTGTAGATTAGCACTGAGGTGCTGATTGGCTCAAAACTCTTCTTCATCAGAGCGCCATAACTCAATTATCTGTAGATTAGCACTGAGGTGCTGATTGGCTCAAAACTCTTCTTCATCAGAGCGCCATATCTCAATCCCCCCCAATTGCTCTGCTTTTGTGGCTCATTCAGTGAGCACTTTATGATCTCCCAGTGAAACAGAGGCTCATCTGCCTGCATTCCTTCTGCTATCTGCTTGAGAGCAGTGCCTATTCCAAGTGGCACATCCAGATGCCCCCCCCGTGATGGGAGAGGTTATGAAAACATCTGCTCCTCCAAGAAACATGGAACCTTGTATGAAGCCTCTGAAACCATCGCTCGTCCTGCAGAGTTGTCTGCCTGAGCCCACCGAGCAGAAAGATGAAGAAGCATCCCATCTCATCAGAAAGTTGAAGATTAGAATCCTCTCATCTCGAACGACCTCCTTGCCCGTGGATAAGTTGCTCTCTGCAGCCGGAGAGTGTGATCCTCTCTCTCTGACCCTTGGCCTTCAGAGCTGTCCTAGTTATTGGGTTAACACTTGATAGGGATGTTTTCCTGAGTGCAGACAACTCAAAGTAATGGATTAGCACATTATCATTCAATTACAAAAATAGGATAGGCCCCCTCAGAATGATTTGGGAGCCTTCCTAACACATGCACATTATAAATGTAAGGTTTGTGTTAGTCATTTAACATGCAAGAATCATATACTCATCAGTCCAAAGCAGAGAAATGTTATTTTAAGTTAAATGTGAGCTAGTCCCTGTGGAATAACCCTTTCTCAATGATTCTGAATGTTATATTAATTCACCATTTACCGTTTGATCAAGGATTAGTTTATCAGAAGTACATTTCCTCTTCCATAAAACATAGGTTTGAGAAATGAATGTTCCAATATGAAATCAATTGCTCAATTTCTCAATATAATTTGACTCTTCCCTCTCTTTTCTTACATATTGTCACATATGAAATAATAACTTAGGAGTCTATTTAAGCATGGTATTGTCTATATAAGCTATTAATCGAGAAAACTCAGAGTGAGTATGCAACTCGCAAATATCTCTCCTCCTTCCTATCCCTCTTTACTCACTTCCCCATCTCTTTCTCATCCCTCTCTC